TGTTGAACACCGGAAAGCACTGGAATATTACGTAAAATCACTGAAAATAAAAGAAATATCTCTGGCTCCGACTCATGCCGCTTTGGCTACGTCCTTCAACAACATCGGTCTAGTGTATAAAAACATGGGTGAACACTCGAAAGCACTGGAATATTACGAAAAGTCGATTAAAATCAAAGAAATATCTCTGCCGTTGGCTCACCCCGATTTGGCTACTTTCTGCAGCTGCATTGGTGGAGTGTATAGCAAGATGGGGGAATACTCGAAAGCACTGGAATATTACGAAAAATCACTCAAAATAAGAGAAAAATCTCGTCCTTCGACTCCTCCCGATTTGGCTACTCTATACAACAACGTGGGTCAATTATATGGCAAAATGGAAGAGTACTCAAAAGCACTTCCATTTTTGGAAGAGGCACTTGGTATCTTTGGAAAGTCGCTTCCTTCAACACATATAAATATTAAAATCGTGATGAATGCTATTGATCGTGTGAAAGAGAAGTTGTAAATGTTTGTTTTCTCTAGTTTTTACTCAAATAAATTCGCTTTGATAACTATTGATTATTTACTAGTCGCGCATACGCGCGCGCGTGAGCAGATAGAGCTGCTGTGTATGCAGATACGGATACGCGTAGCGCGATTCACCCCGGACTGGTAGGGCAGTGAACGTAGGTATCGCGTCCGTACGATGTCCGGGTCCATACGCACATAATGCAGGCCTTCCCGAGTACTACACTACTTCGCCGCAACAGAGTGAGACGAAGAATATATCTGGGTCCGGCGACGAAGCCGCTCTGACAGGCTATCATATAGAACACAAAGGAATGAGTAGAATAATACGAACCTCTCGCCTGATGATATATCATGGAGGAGGCATTCGTTGATGTTAAAGGCGATCAATATAAATTTATCTGGAAGAAAACGTAAATTGTTAAATAGGTATTATTCTGGAATGTATTTTATGTCTAAAATGAAGAAGAAAAGTAATTAACATTTTTTTTGTCCATTACATAAAAGAAAAAAATATTATTATTATTATTGTACTTGATTAATATGAACACAAATTATAAACAAAAGAAAAGAAAACAAAAACAAAAACAAAACAAAGATAACGCGAATATGTAGTTTATTTATATTAGATACAAAAAAATAATAATAATAGAAAATTGTACATCTGAAACGAGAAAGAAGATCGAATGATTATGTTATACACAAGCAGGATGCCAACACATAACCCTTGATATATAATTATAAGTGTCAACCCTTCCAAGAATCATAATAGAAGATCCCGAACGAGAAAAAAACAGGTACAAGTAAATCAAAGGAATATAACATTATTGCTGTTGATCGATGTGAACACACATTCTAAAACAAAAGAAAAAAATAATTATCTTGTTTCTATATGTTAGTTACATAGAAGAAAACGAAAAATATAGTCATTGGTAGAATTCCAAATGGCCCTACTGAAATGAAAAAGATATTGAATATTTAATGATACTTATTGCAGATTGATTCTTCTTGATAGATACGGGAATACAGTCTAAAAAAAGAGAAGAGATTTATGTTAGATACCAAGAGATATAGAAAATCGTAAAATTGTAATTTTCACCCCTGAAACAAAAAGCAAAATATGTTATTTATTTGCAAAAATGTCATATACTTATGTTATTGGATTGAATCGACGACGTTCAATGATTAAGTTTCACAACAAAACATCATATACCCAATTATACAGTTTGATTCTTTGCCATCGTTATAACCGTTCAAAAAATAGAAAAAGTAGAAGATCTAGATCAAAAACAAAGAAAGAAGTAAATTTCGGTATAAAAAGACTTGATGTAATAACAAATTTATCCTTTAATTTTCCATTTCACAAGTCAAATCAGAAACGAATAGTGAACAAGTATTCTAAACAAGAGAAGAAACAAAAACTGAATATATAGTTTCTATAAGTCAGATAAAAACTGAAGTGTAATTTGTTGAATTAGAGGTTGCACCAGTTGAAACGAAACAAAAAGTAAAAGCATTATGTATTTAAAAATACTTATCTAAAGTTATTTTGTATTGATTAAAATTGTATTGGTAGAAAAACGTAAACACATCCTAAACAAGAAAAGAAAAATAAATGAATATATGTAATTAACTTATATTAGATGAACGAAAATATAAACATACTAATTTGTATAATTCCCTGTTGCACCTCTGAAAAGAAATGAAAATAATATTTATTGGAATACTTCTCGAGAGTTATTTCAGATTGATTCTCCTTCATCGACACCAGAACACATTCTAAAGCAGAGAAAAACAAATGAATAAAGACATATTTCATTTCAGAAAAGTAAAATAAAATGATAGCACTTTGAATAGTTTCGCCTTGCACCTCTGAAACCAAAATAAAATAAAGAATGCATACATATGGTTATTGTAAATAGATTGTTCTCGATTGATGACCAACACATTCCAAAAATAGAAGAGAACAAAAAAAATGAAAATATACTTAATTCGTCTTACATAAACGAAAATATAATTAAATGTGGCACATATAATTCCAATTCGCGCCTCTGAAACGAAAAGAAAACAATGTATATTTCACCGCTCACTGACAATAATTTCAGAATCGGATTGTTATTGATCGATCTCAAGAAAGCCTCAAGAAGAGAAGAAACAAAAATTAATGTGTAACTCATATAAGACAGATAAAAAAATAATTGTGCCCTACAACTCCAACTGAATCGCAATTACACCTAACGAGGACAGAAAACGACCACCATTTACGACTTTCACAAACACATGCTACGTCATGAGAAAAGACTACGACCACTCTTTAGGACTTTCAGCATCACATGGTATATCATGAGAAATAACAACGAGCACTGTTTAGGACTTTCACAACCGCCTGGTATGTCATGAGAAATGGCAACGACCACTATGTACGACTTTCAGCATCGCATGGCATGTCATGACAAATGACAACGACCATTATTTAGGACTTTCAGTATCACATGGCATGTCATGTGAAATGACAACGATCACTATTGAAGACCAACCCAGCAACATGGTATGTCATCAGAAATGGCAACGACCACTATTTAACAGGGACCCAGGAAGGTGGTATGTCATGAGAAATGACAGCGAGCACCTTTTGGGACTTCCACACATATGGCATGGTATGAGAAATAACAACGACCACTATCTAAGACCAACCCAATAACATGATATGTGTTAGGTAATGACAGCGACTACTATGCAAGAAGGGGATGTGGCATATCCGAAGTATTGGTCATGCTGGAGATCCCAAGGTTGTCGCCGAAGTCCGAAATGTTACGAGGATATAATACAAATCAGGGACGGAAACGAATGACAAAAATGCCTTTCGGTTGGATTCGGGGTTTAGGACTTCGATGGGATTGGATTCGCCTCAAATTGGGTTTACAAAACATGATTTTCACTATTAGATAGTTTTGTGGTTTTCAGACTCTCATAGTCTTAGAATTTGAATAGTCTATCGATCTTCTAGAGAAATATGTGGAATGAATATAGTTTATCGATGTATACAGAAGAATTTTTCTTTTTTTTTCCAAGAAGGAATACATAGAATGTAAATGAATGAATACATCCATGTAGAGTAATTGAATAAGTTTAATTTCCTTAGAACGAAGAAAAATAAGGTCATTTCTGTATATTGATCTATATTTACAGTTGACCGTATCCATACTTAATAAATATAGATGTTGATATCAAGACCCCAATCGCGCTGCAAATGTGAATAAAGTTAAAGTCTTATTAAGTGATCTAATTGATACATTAAGAGTTAAAAGGGTTAAAATCACCTGTAAAGTATCACTTATCTCTTAATGCACCAATCACATGTCTTAATTAAACTATAGTGCTAATTTACTTCTCAGTGTGATTGGGTCCTAAATTGGCTAAGGAAAAAAAGATGGAAAGACAGAAAGAAGGTCCGTTGTAAATGGGCATTTCTTACACCAATTAAAGTGCACTTAAGCATGTTAGCGTTATCTAAGAGAACAGTAATGACCATTAAATGAAGTCGATTGGCAGAAATCAAGAGAAACAGCGGAATTCCTTTTTCATTGGTCATCTCTTATACTAGTCAACTGTTCTCGACCATATCACTGTAGAACAAAGAAAATGATTTTGAATAACTGAATGAAACTGAAAAACAATGAATCGATTCTATTCGACCTCAAAATAAATTGATCTGCTTCGACTCAACCTCTTTTCTAGAACTATCATTCGATTCGATTCGACTTTTTGTCAATTATTTTTATACATTCGATTCCGGTCTCTGATACAAATACTACGCGTATGCAAAATTATTTAAGCGCATTTTGCGTGTCACGCAGAGACGCCGCATCTCTCCCACTTCTCCACAGACAGCAGCCGCATCTCTGGCATCTCCATCTCCAGCATCTCCCGATAAAAAAAGATGTTTTGAGTTTTTAGCGTAGACTCCTCCGGGAGATGCCGCGTCTGACGCAGAGACGCAGTATCTTCGAGGAACTACTGAGGAAAAACATTTTCCTGATTTGAAGGCTATGACCAATACCCATTATTTGGTCACAATCGAGTGTGGCAACCATTCATCCAGCAATGCTGTCTAACTCACAGGGAAGGTGAACCTAGAAATTAGTTCATCATAGGGCGCAGCGAACGGTGCTGGTGATCGCCAACACAATTATTGGCTTGCTAAATCGTAGTCATCCATGGATATAGCCACATAAACAAAATACTAAATTTACAGCGAATGACAGGTAAAAAGGTAAAAATAGGCGCACTGTCAACCACGTGGAAAAGGCAAATCATTCGATATTGGCACGTCGCTGCGGTAGACAAGCATGAAAATACCCGCACCTACTTAAACGCAAGTTGAATGCGTGCACACCAACCCACACATCCACACCCACATTTTAGAGTGATAATTCGAGTAATAGAGATGCGTCCGTATATGTACACCGCCGTCTTTCAGCTTTCGTGGCACCCACACTTGTGATGGGTGTGGCAGTGTGTGAATGCGTTAATGTGTTTCTCTACCGTGGTCGCACATCAACATTGAGTGATATGCCTGTTTGGCGTGGTTAGCTGTCTGCATGTTTTACCTCTTTGTGTCTGATTCAGCGTATATCTAGTGTTTGACCTATGTGACTCTATCCACGAAAGACTACGATTTAGTGTGTCTACCTGTGTTTCGACGCTCACCCTCTGGCTTCGCTCTATCATGTGATGAAGTTCATTTTTGGTTCCGCCGTCGCGGTGAGTTGTATAGCAATACCATATACACAGTTTCCACACTCGATTGTGACGCATGGACGGGAGTTGGTCATAGTTTTCAAATCAGGAGAGTGATTTTCCTCAGTAGTTTCCGGAAGATGTAGCGTCTGTGCGTGAGACGCGGAATCTCGCTATGAAGACGCATCTCCAGGTGGGGTCCAGGGCTAAAAATCAAAAAAAGATTTTTTTATCCGAAGATGCCAGAGATGTAGCATCTCTCTGTGGAGAAGTACGAGAGATGCGGCGTCTCTGCGGCAGATACAGATTGTGCCTGATGGATTCCTTATAGTGATGATATTTATATTTGCTGGGAGTATGGCTGCTGTGTATCCCGCAGCTCCCGTGGCATCTCTGGCATGTCCGATTTGTTGGATATGTGACACTGCTGACCAATCAGCTTTAATGGCATTGAGCCCCTATTTATGTATACTCAATTATTTAAAGAAGCACTTTTGAAAATTGAAGACGGCGATACACAATCTATTAAAGAGTTCGCCTATTTCTGTCGTCTTCAGAAGGATATTGCTGTAGATCATATCGATAAATTTGAATGCGAATATCGCGACCATACACCGATTTGGTGGTACACGGGACCATATTTCATATACTCCATGATTAATCGGGGTCTGCGATTGATGGATGTCGACATTATACTTAAAATAGGGTTTTTTATTCGACATTTACATAATCATCTTGAAACTTTAAGCCGCGAAAATCAACGCACTGAGAAAAACGCAACTTGCTTTCAAGTCTTCCGCGTGCAAAGTTTATTATTAAGTAGTTTCGAAAAAATGAAAACAACTGAAGGTCGACTCATGTCATTCAACAATTTTCTTTCTACAAGTATGGATCGTCAGATCTCCTGTATGTATGCACAATCTGCAGCTACGAGCCACGATCTAAACACAGTGGGTATATTGTTTGTTATAACAACTGATCCAACGCTTTGCACGAAATCATCGATCCCATTCGCCGTTGTGAAAAGGGTAGGCTACTACGAAGGTGGCGAGAGAGAAATTCTTTTCTCCACACATACCATATTTCACATCGCTCAAATAAACCATATTAAAGACGATCACAATGATTGACTTTGGGAAGCACATCTCACCATTGCGGGGAATGATAACCATGATATAAGCAAGCTGACATCCTATTTACGAGGAGAAGTTCATTCCGAAAACGCATGGTTTCAACTTGGCCAGATAGTCATTCGCGTCGGTCACTTTTCACAAGCACAACACCTTTATAAAATTTTCCTGGAGAAGGCATCCACCAAGTACCAAAAAAGCAATGTGTAGAAATCAACTTGCTAGCGTCTACATGATGATGGGGGATTATGCCAACGTCCTTTTATCATTCGAACAGTCACTTGAAATTCTGAAAATAGCTCTCCCTCGGAATCATCCTGGCTTGTCTACTTCCTACAAGAACATTGCTTTAGTTTATTTTAGTATGGGCGAGTTCTTGAACGAACTCGGGTATTATCGAAAAGCGCAGGACAGTTTATAATCTTGCATGCTTCCTACAGGTCCTTATTCTGCTATTTTGAAAGGGGCCATTAAAAATTTAGTAAAGGAGATGAGGTTGATTGATTTTTGCCGGACATTAGATTCGCGATGCTTTCCTTTATCATTTTGTTTTTGTCAAGCATGATCTGATACTAAGGCAATTCGCCGCAGGATAATTCGTTGCAATAATATATAATAAGTTGCTGACTTCTGCGATTAAATATGATTGAATAAAAATTAAATCAGTAGTAAAAAAACGTTTATTTTGTGATCTTTTCGATCTCGATTAAAATTAAATCGATAATTTGTAGATTCTCCCTATCAATATCCATTGATATATTTAATATCGAATTAATATTTACAATTTACAAGTAAACGATGAACTAATAAAATAACCTTTCTATTTAATTATTTATTATTATTGAATTCTTCTTCTTCTTTTTATTGTATTATGTCTCTTTACTGTTAATTGATACAACAAATTATATAAAATGTTTGATTATAAAGTTATAGTTATATTAAATAGCGTAATACAATAGTTACATATTTGCAACGAAGTTATTCGATTCAACGTATGCATGCAAGTGTTCCTGTTTCGAACGCCCTCTTTTTCCTTTGACAGAGGTTCGATGTGATTTTATTCCAATGGAAAAGAAAAGTATCATCGATCGATCGATTGATATTATATTATGTTGATTGTACAAATTGAAAATGTCTTTAAGTGAAATTCAACGTGGTCAATTAACTGGTAGAATTTATTCAACATCAAAAGGATTCTATCATGTATCGTCGGATCTAACAAAAACGACTCATCGTCAAAAATCATCCTTATTTCAATGGTTTATATCCATTTTCAAAGAGATATTCTTGCCTACTGGATATCCAAATACAGTATCTAATGATTATCTTGCTTATCAAATATGGTAAATTAATATTTTATTTATCTGAATGATGTGAGAAAATAACCGTTTTGTTACAGGGATACAATTCAAGCATTTGCTTCATCGATTACCAATGCTTTAGCATTTAGTGCTATTTTAGAAGGAATGGGTGTTGGAGATGAAAAAGCATCTGTTCTTTCTGCTACATTTGTTTGGTTAGTTAAAGATGGTGTTGGTATGCTTGGAAGAATTCTGTTTGCTTGGTTCCATGGCACTGGTAGTTATAAGTTTATTTTAAAATCAAAACTAAATGATGATCATTTTAGGTCTTGATAGTAATTTAAAAATGTGGAGATTCTATGCTGATATTCTTAATGATTTAGCTATATCTCTTGATCTCATAGCACCCTTTTTTAAACATTTATTATTGCCTATAACATGTTTATCGAATTTATCTCGTTCGATTGTTGGTGTAGCCGGTGGATCAACACGAGCTGCATTAACACAACATCAAGCTATAGCACATAATATGGGTGATGTATCAGCTAAAGATGGTTCTCAAGAAACTCTGGTTAATCTGTTAGCATTAATTGTTAATATATTTTTGTTACATACAATAAAACGTGATCGAATACTTGTTTGGTTTCTTTATTTTAATTTAACAAGTCTCCATCTATTTGCTAATTATCGAGCTATTCGTACGCTGCAATTACGTACATTTAATTGGAATCGATTTGCATTATTGTGTGAAAATTATTTCAGTTCGGGACAAATTCAAACTGTCCAATACATTAATCGAAAGGAACCGATTCTTAATGAAGTCCGACAATCAATGCGATGTAATGTTGGCATTCAATTAAATGAAATTCATGCTCAATCGATTGATATTGATTCATTTATTAAAAATCATTTTTCTATTTTATTTAACCAAAATTCAAAATGTTTCAATGTTTTCCTTACTGATAATTGTGATGATGTAGATTTAATTAAATGTTATTTTCTTCTTCAATATCTTATATATTCGAAAAATTTCGATAAATTCTTAGTCATGTCAACGAATGCATCTTGGATAGATATCGATCGATTACAAACAACAGTATTTCATCTTTATCAAGAATTTTTGTCTAAAGCACAAAAAATAGGTTGGGATGTTAAACAAGCGAAATTTTTAATTAATAACTACAGATATTCATCGAAATAACGTTTCATTCTTATTGTTATTCACAGTTAAATAAATTATTCTGTTCCTGCAGGTCTCACTTTCGTTATCTCCAAATGTAAAAGAGAATTGATTAGAAAATAAGGCATAAATTTTATTGCTAAAAATAGTGAACTGTTTTCAGATATCAATACTAGGATATAAACTAACTTAGATTATAAATTATAAATAATGTTCTGAAAAATTAGCTTAGATGAGTTCATATGGTTATATATTTTGTACTGGTATCATGGTGAGAATGCTTGGGTCGTTCATGTTGATTTTTGTTATTGTTATCAGTATATTTTGAACATTTCATTGACGCACTATAATTTATAAGTGTTTCGTCTTCATTTGAAAGACTATTCTTATGAACTTCTAGTAAAATAAACAAAGAATAATAATGATCGTGAAACTTTAGTTTTTACCATTGTGATGTTTTAGTTTTTGATTATCCACGATAACGGATAGAGGCAATGGTATTAGATCATCCATCGTATTTGAATTGAGAATAGGTTGCTCAATGTTTTCTTTAGATAAATAATAGAGTTGAATTCAAAGTAAGAAAAGAGTAAAACATACCACAAACATTATAATCTGATGTCGTATTTTGATTTTTACTTTTAAATGAGGCTAATGATACTAATAGCATTATTGTCGAGTTATCTATTTTAATGAATAAAAATATTTCATAAAAACTGTATCTATTACTCATACCGATTAGATTACACCAATCAAGATGAATTTGTTTCTCATGATGAGAAGACAATTCTATTTTAGTTAAGAAATTAGATAATTTCGTGAAACTTGTTTTGAATTTTGACTGCAATTTATTTTTGCATGAAATATGATCAATGCACGATTGAGGATATGGAAGATGACCATAAATCAAAAGTATAGTATTTTGATTTTGAACATCCAATGAGGAATTCGATATAGTTGAAGTGAAAAACGTTAATCTATTGGAATGAAAGTCTAACTGTTCATTAATCTAACGGAATTTGAAGAAAAAAATACAAAAACATAATTGATTTTATCATTTATTTACCTGCTGTGAAAAACTGTCTAGATGATTGATGATTTCATTGGATAATTTTAATTTGTCCTTTGAACTCAACGGAAGATTTCCTAAAAACAAATGATTAGTTTACAGCACAATAAAAGACTGCTCCTACTTGAATTATTCGGTAAATGCGAAGGATTCAAAGAAATCGCAATAATAATACTAACCACAAAAAAGAATCCAGCGATCATACACAAACAAATATAATACGACAATCGAGATCGTCTAATAACAAAACAAAAATAGTCTTTAAGTGATATTGATCACTTGTCACTTACGGAGTCGTAAATTTCGAAGAATCATCACTAGAAATAATGTTCTCATCAACTTCGTAAATCGTTTCCAGCATATGCGTTCGATCATACATATTCTATGCAAATAATAATTGCAAATGCGTATATTTTAACTGAATATGCAGTGAAGCGAAACAATACTGGCTAGATGGGAGTCACCTTTGCTACTGCGTCGTCTCTTTTTTTTCAAGCGTAGGTGTAATGAAAAAAACATGTATTACACGATTAGTCTTCATATACGCTTTTTCTTTTCCCCTAAGGTAAAATGATACTGTTAGTTGCTTATAATGTTGATAGGTGATTAACAAATGACTCAATGAATTCTGTACTTTGTAACGACAATTCTTTTCTGCTTCTATCTGTAAGCCACGAGCAAAATTTTAATTGACTTGATTTTCAATGTTTACTTACTTTTTTCAATTTTTTTCTTAATGTACTGTTTATGATGGTGTGATCGATAGGCATGTGATACATATTAAAATGCAATATAATGCGGAAGGGCTAAGAAATATTTGTCATGTTATTGAATAAATTTCGCAAATATTTATATCGCATAAATTCTGAAAGCAAAGTTTTTCGTGTTTATCAAGCGATCATAATGTAGATTGAAAATAATTTATGACGAGTGATGCTTCGGCCAAAACTTGTATTAATTGACAATGGCATACTCGTTAAAAAAGGAGACACAAGGTCATTTACCATTGTCTGATGCAAAGCGGAATTAAATCAGCTTTTTTTCGATCATAGTCAACATGAAAATAGTTATTCCTACGAAAAATCAGAATACCCTATGCAATATTGCTTTTTGCATGTTAATATTATGATAATAATTAAATCGAAGCAGAGAATTACAGCCATAAAAATACAAGAAAACGGAACTCATCGTTCATTCTTCATTGGTAATAAAAAAAAGCGAGTTTATTTTCTATTAAAATATTGTAAAACAAACCTAATATTTAGCACTAATGAAGTTCACATCATAGCGACTCGTCGAATCAATAGACTTCTTCTGATAACATATTTGTCCAGTATTATTCAAAGTAAAGCCTATACAATATGCTGTTTTTAAGCACGATGCACAACATGTGTTATAGTTCATCGAAGGCAACGTTGCAAGGTCACTCCCGGAAAAGTCTGCGCTTTCGAATACTTCCATATTACCACAAATCAATGATTCTAGAAAATACGAAAATACATTTCATTCTGTCGAAAAATAAAAATAAAAAGATACCTACCAAGTTCAAATGATTTCGCGATTCGAGCGGTAGCTAAATAACAACAAAAATAAACAGCCATCAATCGATAAAATAGGTCACATGTCAAGTTTTGAAAATACGTGTCATACTGGACTTTCGTCCGGGAAAAACAGCCACAAGAGACTTATATCTTACCTGTTGCATTTGTACTAATACCAGTTAGAATAAACGTCAATGGTAAGACAGTTGCAAGAATGAGTAAGAGAACGACAGCAACGCCTATAAGTTGAATTTTAATTAGCGAAAGGGAAACTTCTGCATTCGGTGGGTCAACTTGTTTGTTTTCTCTATGAAAAATAATATTTAGGAAATAAAAGAGGCTCAAATTGATCTCACTCTGAAGGCGATTCATCCCAAGTTGAACGATATTCATGAACGTCTGTATCCCAAGTTGAACGATATTCATGAAGATCTGTATCCCAAGTTGATTGAAAGGCACTCATACTGTTGTATGATTCCTATTTGCAGAAGTAATATTCATCGAACGTTGAAATTAAACAAATGAAAAGAAAAAATGATGAATCCTTTATTTGATTTTATTTGATTTTCATAATCAAAATGAAGTGTGTATTGTTTATAATTACATTTAAGGTTTCGAATAGAAGAACAAAAACATTATTATACTAAAGTTAAAAAACAAATACATGTTGGTCTCCTCTGTTTCCCGTTGCGACAAAGAAAAGGTTATTAACAGCAAATGTACATTCGTTCTCTATTACAGATACATAGTTCACTGGAAAATTCAATTAAGTTTCTTTGCCTGTGCTAAAGTAATCTATGCATGGATTCTTGAATCCCAATATATTTGAAAACTGTTTCTTTAGTCTATTGTTATATTTAATTGATGAATTCAAAATGATTTTTCTCTTCCGCCAAACTCTTACAGATTTATTTTATTTTACAATAAAATGTCTAAACCAAAACAAAGCCAGACGATGTACGTCGATATTCACGTCGTCCAATCGTTATTTTTTCATCTAATTTAATCTTCGATAAATTAACAATATCCTGATCAAGTGTATGTAATGAACCATTCGTTTTATCAGCTATAGTCAACAATTTCGGATTGACACCAGCGACATCAACTTGACAAGTCAAAACTTTGACAGGTTTTGTTACACGATTGAGTAATTGTAAATCGCGCGGTGTTGCTTTATTGTCAGCAATGTGAATGATATCCTTACATGTAGGACACCTAATAGCAGATAGAAAAATTGTTCATGTTTTTCCTACTGATTAACTTTTATGTGTGACTTACATGTCAATACCATGCAAAATTGCTTCAATATCGTTTTCAGGAATATCACCACCATTACCATTTTTCATTGCCGATTCCATTGTTGATAAGACTTTATTAAGATTATTAGCAGCCATACTATAAATACCGCCAGTTGAACCTATAACTTTACCAGAATTTAATTTATCATCACCATCATTAAAGAATACGTAATATCTAATGTTCTTTGTTTTATCTTGAGACAATTTCATCCATTTATAAACAGCAGCTGCACATGATTGCATTGAGCCAGTAACATCAACAACGGCTAAAATATCAGTCCAATTATTTCTACTGAGAACATTTTCAACTACATGTTCATAATTATTATTATTTCCATCGATAATACTTTCTAGTACACTTAAATCAGTTCCTTCACCCGTATGTTCACAACGAGAACCATAATAGTTTGCTTGACATAAACAAAACAAATCATCTTTACCCGATGGTTCACATGAACCCTGAATAGAAAATCATAAACGAATTGATTATTCCTGTCGTTTTTACTTACACCGTTTTGACATGGATTTCCTTTAGAACAACCATTGACTAGTTCTTCGACTGTTGTAGTCGTCGTAGCTACTGTTGTAGTTGTCGTAGCCACTGTTGTAGTCGTCGTAGCTACTGTTGTAGTCGTCGTAGCTACTGTTGTAGTCGTCGTAGCTACTGGTACAGTCGTTGTAACTACTGGTACAGTTGACGTAATTGGCTCCATTAGAGAAGCTACATAAAATTCAGAGGATAAAATCGATGCGTATTTGAATGAGAAAAAAATTCCTACAGATAGAAAGGCAGCGTTGTCGAGTCTGTGACCAAAGCGTTCCAGAAGGACACGGTTTATGATACGGAATATAATTTAAACAATGATAAAACATCTTTGATGAAGATGTATCACTAAACAGACCATTTGGTCTCGGACAAATAAATACCGCATGACTCGAAGCGGCTACAATAAAAACAACGAACAGCGATGACGGAATCATTATTTCACGGGACACACAATTCAATCAAATAGAATATTTTTGTTTTGTTTTTTTAAATCATATAGTTGAAAAACTAACACGTCATATTGTGAATATTTGCAGGTGTAAGTATGAGAGTGCAAAATCAATGTATGCTTTGATTTGAAAATATGAAGTATTCATATACTGGCAGGATCTATGCTATCCAATTTCAAACAAATATACAATAGAAACAAGCAACTGTTTTAAACAAAACTGTCTATTTTTACATATTATTCAAAATAGAGCATTTATTTTGACTAGTAGAACAAATATAATCTTTTTAATTAACAATCAAATATCAAGACCGGTTTTTGAGAACAGTCATCATTTAAGTTACATATGAATATACAAAAAAAAGAGGAAAAGAAAAATAAAGAGTAATACAGCATTATCTGACTTTTAAATACTATTAATAAGATTTTCAACGATATTCGCTTCCCAAATTTGAAATGATGAGTCTTCAGCAACAGATGCAATCATAGGTCGTGTTGGATGCCAACTTATATCAGGTATACGTGCATCGTGACCTTTATGATCAAAAATAACTCCATCCTTCGATTTAATGTCCCATACAAGTACGTGTCGATCAGCACTACTCGATGCAAATACAGTTGGTGCTATTGGACTCCATGCTACTTCTAGTACACCATCACGATGACGTTGTTCAAAACGTCGAATTTCTTTGGATAGATTTCGCATATCCCATAATGCTATCGTGGCATCGTCCGAACCAGTTAAAACAGCATATTCATTAGCAGGATGAAATGCTAAACAATTACAATCAGCTGCGTGAACTTTAACACGAAACTGAAGAGTTTTCGATGCTGATGTTGAAGATGATGTTGATGAAAGTAGTGGATCAATAAGTGCAGCAGTGCCCGATGATGCACGAAGATCAGTTATAAGTAAAGTACCTGAAGCTGCAGCTGCTCCGAATACAGCTGGATGACTGAAAGAAAAACAAATGGAATTCATGTTTGCAATAGATATAAGAAACAATTTTTCATACCTTGGATGCCATTGAATAGCATCAACAAGCTTTCTTTGTGAATCAATTATTTCAACTGGATCAATTATTGTATTACATTCAATACCATTATGAGCTGTCGTTGTGGTTGTTGTTGAACTATTTGGCATTTTTTCTAAATTCCATACACACATTTTTCCATCTTGAGCACCACTCAATAATAAACCCTGTTGCATTGGATGCCATGATAAAGCAAAACCTTCATCAGTGTGTCCACGTAGAATAGCTTGTGGTCGGCATTTACCATCTGGATTTAATTTACTTGGATGTTTACTATAATCAAATAGGAAAATATCATTGATCGATGAAAAACTTGCAATTTTAAATGTATTTTGAGGCATAGCACGGGATTTATTTACATCACCAACATGATACATAGGCGCATATGGATGCACTTAAGAAAAAAAGACAAATAGATCAGTATTCAAAAATTTTTCCTTAAAGATAATCTTTACTTGATCCTCGAATGCCCATTTCGTATCCGCCATGTTCACCTGTGAGTTCATCGAAGCCTTGATCGGGTTGCTTAGAAAAATCGTATTCTAACATTGGAAGACGCATTTCAACGACTAGAAAAACAAGAATCAAACAATAAGTGAATAAATTACAGCTAATAATGTACATACCGATTAATTCATTGCGAGAATCCGTTGGTGTACGTCCACCTTGTGTGCCAATAATTAAACGATAATAATCACATTTAAGATCACCTTTAACTGTATGTTGATCAAGCCATTGAACAGTTGGCGATGGACATTCGAGTAGTTCATAGAAAAGCATATTATACAAATAAGGAGCATTTTTCCTCCAACGACAAAATTCTGTCGATTGAAATACTTGATCGTAACCATCACTTTCTATATCATCTTCTTGTTGTTGAATTTCACTATCATTTTCTTCAATAGGAACAATAATGGGTTCAAGTTCCATAATGAATTCTGCAAAAAAACAAAACCATATATAAACAAATTGTTAATTATCACCATTAAACATGTCCGTTATGTTTTGCTTTTAGAGTTATTTATATATATGTATAGAAAGATAAAGAGAGAGAGAGAGAGAGAGACAAACAAAAAAAGGTGCACGAAGATATGTGTAGAAAAGAAAGAAAGAAAGAAAAACAAATAATGACAACAATACAATTAGACACAAAGCACTAGTGCCAAAAAACAAAGAAACGAAACATTGTTTTTTTTTGTTTTCTTCACATGAATGAAACAAGATTTTTTATTTTTTGAGTTAAATAATTTATTTCTCAAGCCATAAATGTTCATCAATCTAACAAAAAGAAAAACAATATAACAATATATTGTTTTTATTATTTAGGATTAAACCATGTTTGCCAATTCGATGTAGACGGACCACCTGAGGATGTATTTGTGTTTGATGTTGAGCCAGATGAGATTTGTTGTTTTCCTGTTGTTTGTTGATAAAGTTGAGAGGGAGCTGCTATTGTTGTTGAACCAGATGTTGGTGTAGTTTGAGGTTGCTGTTGCTGCTGCATATATGCTTGGTATTGCATCCTATTAGTATTTTTGATTATGAGCTTGGCTCAATTCAAAAAGAAAAGAAAAGAAACCTTACCAGTATTGAGTCCATGCATTCGTATTAGCTTGATTTGCAGCCGCATCTTGTGTATTAGCAGCAGGTGCAGCTGCATTTGTTGGTTGTTTTACTGCTGGTGTTGGTGCTGAATATTAATATTTATCATGAACTATATGTATCGAAAAAGTATTTCTCTCTCTCAAACCTGCTGCTTGTAACTGTGGAAACGGTTGTTGAGTAGAGGCTGGTTGAGCAGTTACTTGTTGTTGTTGTTGCATATATTGCCTATCAGCAAAAAAACAAAACAGATATTGAATTATTGTGAAAAACATTTTTCAACATTACCAGTATTGTTGATAATACTGTTGCCAAGCATCTGTATTTACAGCACTTGAAGCTGCTGCTGTATTTGCACCTGTTGCAGGAGGAACAGGTTGTTGTGCTGGTACTGATGTAGCACTTGTTTGAACTAGAAAGACGCAAAAAAAAAATGATTTACAATTAAATAAAAATATAAGCACTGACCATTCGCATTTGGAGGTTTGTTACCAGCTTGAGGAGGAACAGGTGGAACACCTGAATAGTATTGATTAGCCGACGGTGGTTGCTGTTGTTGTTGCTGCTGCCTGTGATAATCATTATTACTGCCATAGAAAGAATTCGGTGGTGGCGGTCCTGACATATTTGGATTTTGTTGATCATTTGCAGCAAGCGATAAAAGAGATTGTGTCATATGGGAATTCGGAACACCTTGTTGTTGTTGATTAGGCCAACCGAATGGTGATTGTTGTGCATTATGTTGAGGTCCACCTGGTGGAAACATAGCTGACGGTGGTTGCTGAGAAGAATATGCTGATGACATTGATGGTCGTGTTTGACTATATGTTGGATTTGTTGGTTGATTCATATAAAGTGGTGCTGTTGTTGTTGTAACATTTGGGAGAGAAAAATTTGGTTTAGTTAATGGTCGATCATCTTCATAGTCGTCTTGTCGATCAGTAAAACGACTTGGACGACCACCGCTACGTGTATTATGCTGTTGATAAGATGGATTATTAGTATTTGGAGGGTAAAAGTCGGAACGATTAGGCGGTGGTCCTTGATTGAAATTAGATGGTTGTTGCATATTTCCTCGACTGTGTGGATTGGGTCCCATTGAATCATAATTTCCATGTTGAAAATTATCTTGATAAGGTCGATTTTGAGGTGGTGGCCCATCAAAATTGGGTCGACCATCTCGACTAAATGGATGATTATCTAAATAGAAATATGTAATGACAAATTTCGTCATCAATGCATTGAATAAATACCTGGTGGTAACTGTTCATTAGCTCGATAATGGCCGCCCATATCATGTTGACGATCATGAAAACCACCTCGACCACCACCACGTCCACCTTCTCGACGATCTTGCCATGGTGGTTGATTATTATCGGGGCCAAACCGTGATTGATGTGGTTCACGTGGATTACTATGATGACCACCTCGACCTCCACCACGATCACCGCCACGGTCATCACCACCACCTCCTCTTCCTCCTCGTCCACCACGACGATCATCGCGTGGAGGACCATGCCGATCTCGATCTCGATCACGCGGTGAACGTGAACGATCTCTGAAACAGTAGAATTATAAAACGTACTGTCGTTCAAAAAATAATAATATACCTATTAAATGACGAAGATCGATTAAAACCACCTCGAGTTGGTTTACGAGAATCTCGATCACGATATCGACTTTCGCTTTCACGAGATGAATGACCTGCGTAAATTTATGTCTGGTTAGAAAGAAAAGAAACGAGACGAAACAACGTACTATCTGATCGTGTATTTAAATTGTCATCATGTTGATGTTCTTTATGCGAATCTAATGATTTGTTCGGCTCAGGTCCTGGTATTGGTACCCCTATAAAATAAATTTTATCTCAAACTCCATTGCAAGAATAGGAACAAACTGTCTACCTGAGCTTTCAACTTGTACTGATAAAAGTGATGGTAACGAATTATTACCAGTATTAGCTGGTATAATTGATTTTTCATTTCCAAAATCGAGTAACGAAGGTGGCCCATCTGTTGAACCTTGTTTTGAACCTGAATGACGATATCGATCATCGCCACCTCCTCCTCCTCCTGATGAACCACGACCAGGACCACCGTCTCCTCGTGGATATGGCATTCGTCCTCGACCTCCGCCGCGATTATTGTCACGATCAAACGGTCGCATTGGTCCTTGATCAATATCAAACAGGCTAGGCATCTTCGCTGGACCACCATCTCCACCACGTTGGTCATCGTAAGATCGATTGAAATTATTATTGAAGCGATCACGTGGTTGAAAATCACCACGTCCACCACGAGAACCACCACCTCGAGGCATAAAACCACCTCGACCTCGCATTCCACCTCCATCACCATCACCTCTTCCTCTCATTCCACCGCGACCCCGACCACCTCTGCCACTTTCGAAACGATTTGAATGCATATTACGATCCTAAACAAACAGAAAGTTCCTATTGTCTATCGAATAGTTGTTGGTACACTTACAAAATCGGATACATCGTCCATCAATGAAGGTGGACCACCGGAACGATGATGTGACGACATCACGAATTATTGTTCCCTCAAAAAACTGTAAAAATGAAAAATATTAACAAACTTTTCCTGCGTATCAAACTTATTTTCTATCAAAATATTATTCTATTCAAATAAAATCTACAATATTAATGACATCATTTGGACAAGATAGCTTTCATCATCAAGGTAAATATATTCAATCAATATTATTTTAAATTCAATTTAATAAAAAAAAAAAAGATGGAACAGTATATCGTAAGGGATTCATATTTATAAATATATATAACGGGTTTAATATATTTCTTTTGTTTTATACTGAAAATTAAAGCAGTAAGATCGACTTTGTCGATTCAATGAAAAAAATTCTATAGCGTCTATTTCATATGATTCCTGTTATGTATAAATGAGTTTATCATATTATCTATTCAATAGATTTATTAAATGCGCAAGGTTCATAAGGGCATCAATGTATGATATAAAACAGAAAAAAAACTACATACATCTTATTATAAAAGTTAAGTATTGGAAGGGAATATTTGAATAAATTTAAAATTATACATTAAATAAAGTAATCATATCAGGAAAAATCAATCAGATAAATTATTTAAAGAACAATTATAAAGCGTACTAAATATTTAGATGCATTTTAGAAAAAAGACTTATGACAAGGGGGATACAATTCAAGTATGCATATAAATAATACACATATACTAATGGGTAATATTTTATCAAGGAGTCTATACTATACGTATAGATCGGTCAAGTTTTTGTAACAATAATTCATCATTCTTAGCATAGACGCGCTTTAAAAAATGAATGCGTTTCTTTTTTCCCAATAAAACAAGCGATATGTATTAAAATAGATAAATTGTTTCAGAAAAAAAAGAAACTAAGATTAAAGTCGTTAAAAAATTATATCTTAACAAGACTGTAAATATTGATATTCTAATTCTAAGCTGTCAAATCTTATACCTTCAGCAATTATTGATTATCCTAAATAATCTAAAAAAACGAAATTATTTCTAAAATATTCTAAAAATTTATGAGCCAATAATAAATATGAATCTTCCATCTTTTCATCAGAACAAAAGACTTTTTTTTTGGTTACGGATATTGACAAACAAATCCTAGAAATAAAACTATTGGCTACTTTTTTTCTCTAATCAGAATCAGCTTTAACTTTTTTCAGTATGAAAATAAAATAATTTTTTCTAGGAACAAATACTATCTTTGAATTATTTTTGTTATAAAATATCTTCAATATTTTTATCTTGCGAAATTTTCCAATCGGAGGCCAAAGTGAATTCAATAGGGCCATTATTTATTTATTTCGTTCGAAGACACAACCATTCATGTCCATTTTTGACTAACAAATCATACGTTTAGCTTCTGCTAATTTTTAGATTTCGATTCGTTCGTAAGACAAAACTATCAACATGGGTCGTATGCATGCTCCTGGGTGAGTACTTTTTATCTATGCAATTTTTTTTCTTTAATAAAAATCTAATTTCTTCTAGAAAGGGTATTTCAGATTCTGCTTTACCCTACAAACGAACTGTTCCATCGGTAAGTCATTTTTTAAAAGCTTCAATAATGATTTAAAATGTCATTCTTTTTAAATAGTGGCTTAAATTAACATCAGAAGATGTTGTAGATCAAATCTGCAAATTGGCTAAAAAAGGTTTAACACCATCACAAATCGGTAAAAGATTGACGATATTGAAATAGAAGCAAACAATAGAAATGTCTTTTTTCTTTTATTTTTCCAGGTGTTATTCTTCGTGATTCACACGGTGTTGCTCAAACTCGTTTCGTAACCGGAAATAAAATCTTGCGTATTATGAAAGCAAAAGGGCTCGCACCAAGTAAACCAGAAGATTTACATCATTTGATTAAGAAAGCTGTTGCTATTCGTAAACATTTGGAACGTAATCGTAAAGATAAAGATTCAAAATTCCGCTTAATTCTTGTTGAAAGCCGTATTCATCGTTTGGCACGATATTACAAAACCAAAAAAGTTTTACCTCCAACATGGAAATATGAATCATCAACAGCCGCTGCTCTTCTTGCATAAACAAAACTGTTTATTGTTTTGTTCATTTTAATATAACATAGGAAAAACATAAGAATAAAGAAAATAAAGAGAGCATGTGCAAATAAAAACGAAAAAGGGAAATAACAATTTCATCTATACTATTGTGTTTCTAGATTGACTTTTAACTTTTTTTTCTTTTTAACTAAATAAGTACGATGGCCGCACAAGAGCTCATCCTTATTCTCGATCGAACAGTCACTGGATGTAGGTGTTTAGATTTCGCATAGGACATATATACATATATATATCTATGGACATTTTTTTCAGCACAGGCCGATTTGGAGAATGCACGAAATTTTCTTGCTAAAGCAGCTGAACAAAATTTGGTATGTTTGTACCATAGCAAAAAAAACATTCATTCGAACTAGACGCGAGTTATTTGCTTTTGTAGCCTGAACTTTTAAAACAACTTTCCGATATTTTAAATACTTCCACAAATAATCCAACAGCACGTACTCAAGCAGGTAATTTTTGTTGACAAAAATGATTTGATATTTTACGTTCGTTTTCTAGCACTACAACTTAAAAACGCACTTTATTCACGCGATGATATAAAAGCTTTTCAAGACCGATGGCTTCTTATACCAGAAGACGTCAGAAATCATGTCAAAAATAATGTAAAATTTCAATTGAATATATTCGTTTCATAAAATTCTCTATTGTATTAGTGTTTCAATTCTCTCGGGACTGAAACAACAAAACCATCACAAGCCGCACAATGTGTTGGTTATATAGCTTGTGCTGAATTACCACGTGGCCAATGGCGAGATTTAATCGGTATGTTTTTCGAATTAACTCGACGCATATTTTTGTATTTCGTGTGTTGTCTATGAATAGAACAATTAGTTGCAAATGTAACAACTGTTGGCAGACCTGATAATATTCGTGAAGCGAGTTTAGAAGCACTCGGTTATATATGTCAAGATATTGTAAGTAAATTTCTTTTTTTTAGGCAGAAATTTACTTTTCTTTGTTAGGATTCAAACGTACTTGTACCTCAAAGTAATGTTATATTAACTGCACTTGTATATGGTATGCGTAAAGAAGAAACCAATGATCATGTTCGACTTGCAGCTACAACAGCTATGCTCAATTCCTTGGAATTTACAAAGAATAATTTTCAAAATGATGTAAGATTAAAAACGGAGCTTTATTTCGAATAGTAATTCGGATCATCTTTTCAATAGAGCGAACGTCATTATATTATGCAAGTTGTATGCGAAGCCACACAGTCAACAAATTTAAAAGTAAGTTGTAACTCGTTTTCCGTGCAAGAACAGTTTACTAACATTTTTCTTGTTTAGATTCAGGTAGCAGCATTACAAAATCTCGTTAAAATACTCACATTATATTATGATTACATGGAATACTATATGGGTCCTGCGTTGTTTGCTGTAAGTTTTATTTGAAATTCCAGAAAAAGTTTGTTTTGTCATGCAGAAAATGAGTACTTTTAGATTACTATGGACGCAATGAAATCTACACACGATGAAATCGCTTTACAAGGTATTGAATTTTGGTCGAATGTTTGCGATGAAGAATATGAACTACAATTACTTCAACAAGAAGTAAGAAAAGAAAATGTTATTTCTTTTTAATAAACATTTCTATGGATATTTAGGCTCAGGACCAAAATCGACAACCCGAACGATCAAGTCGCTACTATGCACGTGGCGCATTGCCATATTTAGTACCTGTATTACTTCAACGACTGACCATGCAAGAAGAAACCGACGATGATGACGATTGGAATCCATGTAAAGCTGCTGGTGTTTGTCTTATGTTATTAGCTAATTGTGCCGAAGATACTATAATTCAATATGTATTTCCATTTGTCAGTGAAAATATAAAACATACCAATTGGCAACATCGTGAAGCTGCTGTTATGGCATTCGGTTCTATGTTAGAAGGACCCGATGTTGCAACTATTAAACCCATTGCTGAACAAGCTATTCCATTTTTACTTGAACTATTACGTGATTCGAACGTTGCCGTACGTGATACAACAGCATGGACAATCGGTCGTATATTTGAATTTGTTTCACAAGCTGTTATGAACGATGAATTACTTCGAGCTCTCGGCAATGCACTTGTAAATCGCCTAGCAGATGAACCACGTGTAGCAACGAATATCTGTTGGGTATGTGCGAAAAACAAAAAACTAAGTGATAATCAGAAAGAAGAATATTTTCTTTTAGTCGTTTTCGAGCTTAGCTCGTGCTGCTTACGATCATGCAGAATGCTCAGAAGAGGATGATACTCCGAATACGTATTTGTTATCACCATTTTTTGATGAAATTGTTAAAAAACTTATTGAAACAACTGATAGGTAAAAGACGAGCTATTTCTTTTTTAGTTAAATGAAATTTTCGCATTTAGACCGGACGGAAATCAATCAAATTTACGTAATGCAGCATACGAAGCTTTAATGGAAATGATTCGCCATAGTCCAAAAGTAAAAATATTCGTCACCAGAAATTTCCTTACTCATGTTTTTTGTTTGCTTAAGGATTGTTATGTTACTGTTCAAAAAACTACCGTAACTGTACTCGATCGATTGAATCGTGTTATATCAGCTGAAAGTCATACAGCTAATCCAAACGATAGAGTTCAAATCGGTGATCTTCAATCCTTACTTTGTGCAACACTTCAGGTAAATTCATAATAATACTATAAAAGAGTATTACAAATAAAAGATGTTCAATATTCTAATAGAAAATCGAATAAAAACGTTTTCAATTTTTTCCTCGTAAATTTTATCTTGTTGAATTTTAGAGTGTACTTCGAAAAATGCATCCAAACGATGCACCACTTATATCTGATCCAATCATGCAAGCTTTATTACAAATGCTTAAATCAAATAGTGGTAAAGCAAGTGCCGTACAGGAAGATGCACTTGTCGCGATTGGAACACTAATTGAAGGTTGTACATAATTTTTTTAATTTTTTTATCTTATAAATTTCGTGGACTTTTAGTTTTGGGCTTGCATTTTATTAAATATGTCGAACATGTTCTTCCGTTTGTTTACGAAGCATTAAATAATCATGCTGAATATCAAATTTGTGCAGCGGCTGTCGGTGTTGTAGGCGATCTAAGTCGTTCTCTACTTGATAAATTAGCACCCTATTGCGATCATATAATGACTCATCTACTTAATTGTCTTGGTGTAAGTATAAAAACAAAAAAATAAATAAATTCAAAAGATAAATTCTTTTCCAGGATGATAAATTACATCGTTCAGTGAAACCTCAAATTTTAAGTACATTTGGTGATATAGCTTTAGCTATCGGTGGTTATTTTAAAAAATATCTTGAACATGTATTAAATACACTTAATCAAGCATGTCGAGCGCAAGTCGCAAAAAATGATTATGATATGATTGATTATCTTAACGAATTGCGTGAAGGTTGTTTATCTGCGTATACAGGAATTATTCAAGGACTACGCAATTCTGTTGCACCGGCCGGTGATTCAACATTAGCGCTTGTAGAATTACAATTGGTTACAGGTCAATTACCATTTATGGTGCAATTCATTGAAACAATCGCTCGTGATCCAAATAAATCAGATTCAATAATTGGTTCAGCTATTGGACTTATTGGTGATCTTGTTACATCGTATGGCCAACAAATGATAGAATATGTTGAACGAGACCCTATTGATAAATTATTAACTGAAGGAAAACGATCAAAAATAATGAAAACAAAAACATTGGCAATGTGGGCAACGAAAGAAATACGAAAGATCAAAAATAATTGAACATATTTCTTATGATTTATATATAAATAAAAACAAATCCAAGAGAGAACGAGAGAGAGAAATTAAACATTTCAAGTCTGTGTGTGTGACTGTGTGTGTAGGAGAGGAGAGAATGTGTCTGTGTGGTGAGATATTTCATTACTTCTTCTTCTACTACTACTACTACTTGTTTTTCTTTTTTTCCTCTGTTAAACAGACGTCTTTTCCTTTTCATTGCATTAGGTGAATTCTTGTACGATTTATTTAAGTTAGATCCGACTAACATAGAAAAAAACCAAGATGACGCTGGTCGTACTTATTTTTTTTTCGCTGTGATCTTTTTCTGTCACTCTATTCATGTAAGAAGAAGGTTTTACTTTTCGTCAAACGTGCCGGTGGTTTATTTTTTCTCCTTCTTATCATTCTCAAATCTCCCTTTGTTCCAGACTTTTTTGTCGATTCACTGAAACTACTTCATCAAGGGATTGCCTTTCATCGTTGTCACTATTTTCTTTGTCTTTCGCTCTTTTCTGTTCTGCTTGTACGTGTGCTGCTGGTGCTGAGAATTGTGTGTGAGTGTGAGTGGCGCGAGCGGTCATTCTCTCTTGTGAGTCTATTTTCGTCCTGGAATAAAAACGTTCCTATTAATTGATTTTAACTATCAAAATAGTCATAGTTTTCATTAACATATGATCTTGTTGTTTACAAATATCAATATTATTTAACTAGTTTTATTAACATTACTAGTCAAAAAATTCATTACAAGCAAAATGTGTGATAGTGAAGGCAACATTTTCTTTACTGAGTTATTGTGAAACAACGACTAGTATCTGACTTTTTAGAATGTATCGGATAGATAACTTTGTCAACTATCAAATTTACTAAAATTTCAAAAATGTCTTGTTGATATCTAAATTTCGCAAACACGCTAGATTACAACTTGCTTTTGACAAATAGAACCTCATGTTCTATATGAAAAAGAAAAAAAACCCAAGTTGTTAAACTAAAGACTTTTCTATCAAGACAATAACCATTAGCGATCTCGACGACATCATATAAAATATATCTTTGATCAGTGATTTTTCTGAGTCAATGGCCTGTGTAAATGATCGATTAGAAAATGATTGTTTCATTTATAGCACGGAATTTAGAATAAGTGGCACGGCTAATTGCAGAAACATTTTCACACAATTCTATGTAGCGAGAGAGAAAACAGTCGAGGTACTTCATAATCATTGCTGAGGAAAACTAATTGTAAAATATTTTGTTGTGCTGACTCTACCTGATTTCTATCTATATACGTTTGATCTAAGCTTCAGTCACTTTTATTAATTTTCTTTGACAGTACCAATATGTCTACTGTAATAATCGTTCGACTGAAGAAAATTCGGCTGAGAAATACTTGAGTGGCTTTATCAATTAGTATTATTTTTCTAGATTCAATCCACGTTTCTGTGGATAAAGAATAATATTCTTTGAAATCAAAAGACACCACTCAAGTCTTCATATTTTTCTTGTTTTTTTTTAAATAAAACTCATCTTAAATTTGTTGTATAAATATTACGCATAAAAATCATTAGCAAGTGTTTTTAGTACTCCGCAGTTTACTTGTTTTCTACGTTAGATGATTGAGAATTTTATAGGTGACAAGATGAAATTGATTTTGATGTTTTCATCTTCTTTCTTCATTGAAGATTAATAACAATTAGATTTACATGGATATAATTAATATTGATTATTATTTTGAAAAAAATAAATAGTCTTAATTCGAAATATTCCTTTTTAATATGTAGTGAAAAAAAGTCTCTTAAGTTATCTTCTAAGGATTATTTGTAACATATAGCTCAGTTTCATGAGTCTAAAATAATTTTGTTTTAACAATAATTCTTAATGAATTAATAGTTAGAAAAAAGAGAATATTATATAATATTGTTGATTTGATGAACAATCTCTTAAATGCAATATTTTTCGCGTGGTAAAAACTTTATTGCATTTGTTTATGAGTAGTTTTTTTTAAATATTATAATGAATCTTGTTATAATTTGAATACAATAATAACATCATCTTTCATAAAATATATTTGTATTCTAACCAAAAACGATCTACCAGTACTTTCTTTATTAATCGACAACATATGAATAAACAACAGCAACAAACAAAACAAAATGGCAAGAATTGTTTTTCTGATTAGCAGAAACTGTCCCAGGACAAGAAATCCCCGACTCGGACCCTGTAGGAATCCTTTAAAATCCGACTGAGAATCCAGTAACTTCCGACAGGATTCATATCGGAAATTGCTGGAATCTTTTGTCTCGAAATCCGATAGGAAGTTGTCGGATATCGGATCCACCGATTTCCGACTGTTGGATCCAAGAGTCGGAAGACTTTGAAACCCTCAGGATCCGATAGGTTCTTGATTAAGTTCCAAAACTACATTGAATATTGTTCACAGCATGGATATCTGAGTCACCCAGGCGAATCAATCGGATACCGAATCCCATCGGATTCTATGGGGTCCTCCCATCCGACGAAATTCCGTTGGATTCCTGGTTGAGGAATCAATGTCGGATCCGACAGTCGTATTTCCAGTGATATCCGATCGTCGGAACCAATGAAATCCGAAGCATTCCGGTTCCGATTGACGGTTACTGTCGGATTTTATTAGTTTCTGATATTAGGATCCGATATCGATTCCGGAACCAGGAATCCGACGATAATCCGATAGTTTCCTTGCGGCTTCCGAAGAGCTCCGTCGGATTCAAATAGGAACCGATCGGAACTCATCGGATCCTAGGCTAGAATTCATTCTCCTGGGCATCTGCTATCATTATATCGGTTTTCATTAGTTTTGTTTATCTTGTTCATCTGTTTATTTTCAAATAGTTTTCACACGCAATAGCAATAAATGTTATTGCACAAAAACAAAAAAGTGCTTGAAAGACAATTTTTTCACGTTAAAAGTTTGTTTCAACAAAAACAAAAATAAAAAAGACGAACTTGTTACTTTGAATGCTTCAGTAGATAAGTGCAGTTTTTATAGATGGACTATGATCCTGATAAAGATATTGAAGATTGTGTTGAGGTACTTTTACGATCACGCTTTCGTTCATCCGCCAGAAAATCAACTAGCTTTGATCGCACTAATTTGCCAGAAAATTCGTCGTAACGATCAGCAGAAATTCGATATTTAACACGCATAGTATCTAAACAGAAATTGAGATTCGGAAACATAAAATTTTTCACAGTAATGCATGATTAGCTATATATAAAACTAAAATTAAAATGATTAATCGGCTGTAGTCTGTAGAACAAAAGATTTCAAACCATACCAAGGAATAATAATTTTTCTTTCGCTATGATTATTCAAAAACGAAAACTATGGTTGTTTTTTTAAGGAAAGTTTCAGAAAATTTTCAATTATTATACATGTTCATGGTCTGAATTTCAGAAGGAAATTCATGTAGAACTATTTTTCAGAAACTAACTAATTAACTCTGTTACAACACTATCCAAATCTTTCTCTAGTATCTGCAAATAGCTTAAAACTATATATACTATGAAGAAATTCGAACCTTCCACTATCCAAAGGTTTTCGAATAAATTGTTGACCACCTGGAGGCAATATTGAAGATAATAATTCTTCATGTGAGAATATGGCACGAAGTACTTGTCGAGCATAATCACCAATCGTTTTTCCTCGAATATGTGATAAATTTAAATCTTTGTACATCTAACAAAAATATTTTAAAAAAATGTCAAACAAGTAGCAAGAAGAATGCGAAAAAGTCAGTATCGATATGATGTTTACGATCGATTTTTTTTTGATAATCGAACGAATTGCTTTTCATTTTCTTGTCTAATTGAATTATATTGAATATCAAAGTGATTGTTGAGAGAAGAAGCTACAAAAAAAAATCGATCACACATTAATTTAATCATAATAAGTATAATATTCAAACTTGATGAAGGTGTTAGAATTTGATTATTATTTTCTTCATCACTGGAACACTCACCATCTAAAAACTGAAGGAGAAAGATGATCATTTTATTCTTCATACACAGTGCGACAATAAATGTTTTCACGAACACCCAAATCGTATAGTTCATGAAGATTCTATTAGTATGAGCTTTTTAGACTATTTTTTAAAATTTTCTCTCTAATATTAACCTTAGAATAGATTTACTAAATAAAAATGATTAACTTCTAAAGAGCAATTCAAGAAAGTCAACATATTTTACATATGTTTTTGACACGCATCAACTTTCTTTCTTTTTGCAGCATGAAATTCTAAAGAACGATGATGGACTTTTACAACTGAATCCAGTGAAGAACGTTTTTGTTATAATGTGCTTGGTTTTGGTAGGATATTGGAAGCTAAAAATATAATGAATATCAGCAATACAGAATTTGCCAATTATCAGTGAGAAAACTCGTCGGTGATCAATAAAGATAATACAAAACTATAAAATCTCTTTAAAGCTGGCATCCGATTGCTACTTTCTAAAAAGATAGGTATACCTGGTAGGATCAACGTTGCCTAAATATAGGATTTTCCCCAAAAAATGACGCAAATATAGGATTTTTTTAATTGGATTTCTATCCAATTGGTATAGTGCTATTTTTATATCTTTGTTCTAATATTGTTTTAATTAAGTTGCTCGTAAAAACTGAACTGTAATTAGAGCGCTTACGCTATTACTTGGATTTAAAACATAAGTTATTGATTTAACTATCATTATTTATATAAAGAAGTTTACTTATAAAACTTTTCACAAATCAATAAATAGCAATAAAGTATATCACAAACTTTGAAAAAACAAGTACATAAAAATAAGTACTATATCATACAATTAAATTTAACTTATACAAATAAAACTTAATTACATACAAACAAACACATTGAATTATAATATTAATTGCTGTTGAATTAGATGTATCAGTTGAACTAGTTGTTACTTGAGTTGGAATAATAAATTTTACGTTTTTTTGCCATTCCTGAAATATTTGCTGATGCTTGAAATTGTTCAAATGCTGTTGGACCGCTCGCCAACCTTGATTTCCGCAATCAAGATCATTTGTTCGGCACAAACTACATCTAAACGTTGTCGGCTTAGAACCAATTGTCAGCCATATTTTAACTGGATTCTTGTTATCGTCTTCTCGATGTAGCCAACTGTCGTTAAACTTTGTAACACTTTTGGGCATTATATTTCTGAAATGATAAATACTAGTTTATTACTTAATTGCTGCATTTATAGTCAGCTTTTTTAATTTGCAAAAACAAGAACTTTATAAAATATAAAACTAAAATATTATACACAAATATATTCGCATTCATCTTTGCATATCAATATGCATAACATACATAATATTACTATGTTTTATACTTATATGTGTATTCTACCTAAACGGCAGAAAATAGCGAATAAGGAGTTGCTCGATGTTATTTTTTCCTTAGAATTGTTTTGCCTTTTGTAGGTGATATTAAATGATCTTTCAGTCCGTTCATTAAATAGGCGAAAAGAGAAAGAATAATATACTAGTTTGAAAATAGGTGTCAGTATAATATGATAAGCGTCCAAAATTTGTTATCATATGCACAAAATACTTTTTTGCCAATAAAAATGAGCAAAAGTCATCAATTTTTGTGAATTTCGTAGTTTTTTCAGTAAAATATAGGAAAAATAGGTATTTTTCAAAGATATAGGACAAAAATAGGATATTTTTTCTAAATATAGGAAATATAGGTCGAATCGCATACCAGCTTTAAAGGCGAATTAATAAAATATTTTCATGCAACTTGATTTGTTTCCATAACTTGTATTTTCATACTAGGCCTTTTTTTTATAGAAATTTAGCTAAATAATACAAATTCATATTGACTATAAAGAGTAAAAATCATCTGACTAAGCTCAAAACAATAACACTTAATAGATGATTTTTTTCTAACAATTCAAAAGACTTTACCTACTTGATAAACTTTTCAGAAGATCCAGTGGTCCATCGTCATTAACATCTTTGCCTTCGGAACTGTCCGGTTCATCAAAATCTGAAAAATTTCAGTATTAACTTTTCTAAAAATCCTGTGCTAACTCACTCTTCGACTTTTGAGCTTCTTCACTTTTTTCCATACACGTTGACATTCTTCATGAGTACCTTGATAGCAAATAATAAAATATCTAATACAATCAATTTCCAGAAAGTAATTTATTTTTCAAATGAAGAATGGATCCAAAATAAACTTTTTTCATCTAGAAAAACTTTGGCTAACCTCGATATTCAATTATTACCTCGATTCGACGACCATAAACCATAACTTCAGCTGTATTTATTATAAATACGCTTTATACTTGAACGATGAACAATTTCACTTTCACTAGTTTCGATGATTTTGCATAAATAACATTCAGGTTCATGTGTAGCTGTTGTTGTTGGTGTAGATAAATGCCTGATGTATCATTATCTTCTTGAATTTGCTTTTTTATATTGCTGAATATTTTCATAAACTGATTTTAATAATAATGAAAGTATATGTCAAATATCTGAATCATATAAACAATAGCAATATTTGTGTCATTTGATTCTGGACATGAAGGACAAAAACATTCGCCATCATCTATATCAAATGTAAAAATAAGACAAATTCTTCTTTTTTTAAATAGATTTTCTTTCATTTCAATCATTGGTAATAATCCATCCATATCCGATGGTAAATTATTCGGAACTGACAATGCATCATGAATTAAATTAAGAAATCTACGATGCTGGTTTAGAAAGTCTAGATTCATGAAACATATGAATCAGAGATGGGCAAGTCAAATCAAAAAATGACTTGAAGGTTTTTCTGAATGAACAATGACTTGACTTGACTTACTTCAATGGTGACTCATGACTTGACTTATAAACCTAACATTATCTCGTTCATACAAAACATTGGGTAAGCTAGCTGTGAAGTATTTATGCATTCCAGCAACATCAGCTGCAGTAGAGAGAACATTTTCTCAAAGTGGCTTCCTGTTTCGTCCTCATCGTGTTCGAATGTCACGAAAGACTCTTCAACAACTCACCTTACTAAAATGTAATAATGATATTGCATAATATGTTTTGTTACTTATACTTACGCTAGTGCCCTTTTTTTCTTGCTGCTTGTGAACTTTAGTCGAGATATTTGTGAGCCAATACTTTATTTCAGTTTTTTTTCTATTATTGTAAAACTTTGTTAGGAACTATTTTTTTGTAAAGAATAAAAGTTTTGATATTGTGATATTTTCACAAGGAGAACATTTAAAAAAATTACCTGAAATGGAATTTCGACTAAGCTTGCGACTTGACCTGAAGTTCTCAATAAATGACTTGACTTGTGACCGGAAAACCTTTGACTTGCCCATCTCTGACATGAACCCCTTTTTGACAAAATACATCCGTAGATATGTTCGTATATAAGGATGAAGAACTTGAACAGAATAAGTTATTCATTTTCTTCAGTTATTCCTTTAAAAAAACACTTGAATTAATAATAGAAAATTCACCACTATTGTTGTTATTTTCAATTGATTAAGAATAGTCATTAATATTATTATAAATCACATTATCTTCATCATTTGAAGTGTCAATGGTAATTAATGGAAGAGAAATGCTCTGATTATTTGTTTCTAATGATGAAGAAAAAGATAATAAAGCCGATTGTGAAGATATTAGTTCAGAATCTTGATGATGTAGTCGAGATTGTTGACATTTTTCTTTTCTTTTTATTAAATAAAGTTGACGATTTCGATTGGATATTTCAAAAGCATCTTGTATATCAACGTCCATCTATATAAAAAATAGCAGATATAAAAAAAAAGAAAAGAAATTGTAGAATGATTTTTTTCGACTATGAAATTCAATTGAAAATCAGTGCAAAAACAATATATAAATGCTTCTTCTTGATCAAATCTATTCAAACACATCTATCTAATAAGAATAAGATATCTGTACTCAATGTTTTTGCAAACAAAATACTTTAACAGAATTTTATTCATTATATCTTCAAAGCGACCTTTCATCCGAAATTAAGCCAAAGGTATTTGAAATTAAAAAAGATAAATTGAAATTTTGTGAAAGTTTTATTAAATCACTTTGAGTTTTGTCGAACTAAGAAAAAAATATAATCCATAGCAATTTCTCGCTATGCTTTTTATCGTCAGACGATACACTAATATTTCGGTCCACTTTTTCGAGTGATCAACGAGTAGCTAGATTGATAGATACATGTCAATGATATTGTTTCCTCCATTCTTTATCCTTCATTGATACTGTGAATTCTTTGTTTTCATTAACAAAGAATATTAGTCAAGCTTGACGTATCACTGTAGCGTATAAATAGTCATCATTCATAAATGCCCAAGAAGTGTTACAATATTTTCCTTGCAGCAAACTACTCTTTTTTTTCGACAACCTAATGGCTATTTCATGTGACAACCCAGGTCGAACAGTACGGTCCGTATACGGCCGTTGACGGTTACTTTACGACTATTTTACGGGCGAAAGTTTGCCGTAATATCTGGCGCAGTAATACGGACCGTATTATCATGAGTACGGAGCACAAACAGCCGTAAACCATGAAAATTCAGTCCCGTTTACGGTGCCGTATTACTGCCCCAGGTATTACGGGCAAATACGGTCTATTTACTGTCGTAAATACACCGTTTTGACATCGTTTACCGTCGATAAACAGACCGTAAACGAGTCCGTTTTGATCAACCTGGGAAAGTTCGGTTTTTATTTTGCTGTTAATCTTGAAAAATTTATTTTGCATAATGTATTCTAGAAACATCAACTAGCATTGGAAATCATGCGAATTACCTTTCAAATGAATAAATTTGGTAATGAGTTTGTATTAAATCAACAACAGCAAGTACGATACGAAGAATTCAAACAAAAAAAACAAGAATTATCCAAAGAACTGTATGCACTAATGGAAAACGACAACGATATTTAAGTGCTTCGATGTAATTTTGTCATTGTTAAAAAAAAGAAGTTTAGAACTATACAGTCTGATAGCTATTATCTAGAAGAAAATCTATGAACATTTACATCATTGTCTTTATTATAGCTGATCAATATTTTTCTTTATACAAATAAACAAAACAAAAAAGAATGTAATATAAATAATTTTTTGTTTCGAAAGATATTTTAAGATACAACACTTTGTGATATCTAATATAACAAGAGATTCCGATAAACCAATTTGCAGATCAATGACACTTGCACATAATACTTTGTCAAACAAAAAGTCATACAAATAAGTTGGAACGGAGGTTTATATTTTCACAAGAGAGGGCTAATACTTAGGGTCGCCCAAGCGTTCTAATAGCACATGAATTTAAAACAATAAAAATAAGACCGTCTTTAATTTACTTTTATTTTGTGATGAAAATAGTTGGAATTTTTTCTATACGAAGTTCGATCGTTTCTAATGAGTCGGTAAAAGATCTTCTGAAAATTTTTTCAAAATATTATCTACCTTCTGGGAAGTCGATAGGGCTAACTGTTTTTCATTTGTCGTGAAATATCGCTAAATTTTCTAATAGACTATATCATTTGCCATTTATTATACTGATAATCACGTGTAGCTTTATCGCAGACCGGTTAGTCCAAGGGGGAAAAAGCGTATTTCTGTATTTCTGAGTATTTCTACGTATTTCTATGGATTTCTATAGATTTCGATGGATTTCTGAAATACGTGGAAATACGTGGAAATACGTATTTCTAGGTATTTCAGAAATCCAGAAATCCAGAAATCCATCGAAATCCATTAAAATACATAGAAATGCGTAGAAATACTCAGAAATATTTAGAAATAAAGAAATACAGAAATACACTTTTCCCCCCTCTTGAGTTAGCCTCAAATGAATGCATACTGACTAATTTTCTGTAGAGAATTCATCAAAAATAGTATTCATAGATGTTTATTTATTGCTGATGTGATATTATCATTGATTCTACAGGTTGTGAAATATTGTAATGATTATAAAATACCAACAAAAACTTATTTCTAGTTTACATAAATGATATATTATGAATTAAACTTTGCTCTTTATGATTGATTTGTTCAAGAATAAATAGTAGGTGAATTTGTTTCAACGAAAGACTTTCTCCTACTTTTTATTAACATAGATTGAAAAGGTATATATTTTATGTTGTTTATGATCTGCAAACGACATCAGTTTATTAAAAGTACAATTATCTAAGGAAACGACAAAAAAGATATTGGCTAATATATTGTTTCAATTCAATATAAAACTATATTTTATTTTGAATTATGTTGAATGGTTCCTGATGCTTCATGGTGAGTTTTACCATGACCCAATAGAATTTAAACCGTAACCATGAATATTACGTGGCTCTGAAGTGCCTTTGACTGCTTGAAAGGTGGCTGCTGCCGTAAGTAGTGATACAACGAAACCTTGTGCATAAACATCAGTACGAATCCTATTAAAATAAAATAAAAACGTTTCAAAATCATATATCGAATTTCAATTAGTTTGCTTACCAATAGGTAGTTGTCGGTTTGCTTCGATCTTGTCTATTCTAACCAATAATAGCTCGCAGCATTATTTGAAAATCATTTAGAGTTGGGCTTACTTTTGGCACTGAAGCGCTATTTAAATTCGAGATATCTTATCTAAAATGAATATTTTTACAAATAACTAATTACATATAATACACAAATATAACCTAGATATGATTATTTTCAAATTACAAAAAATATAAACATTACGAGATACTATTTTGTAAAAGATGACTAACAACAAGATCTTTATTTCCTCCGTGTTTATCTAATAAATCGATAATTAATTTGACGATCAATTGCAGGAAACATTTCTTGAATTGTTCGTATATCATCTCTGATGAATAGATTGCTGCTGATTCAATAATACTATTAGATTGAGATGATGTTGATGAAGAACTCGTTGAACTATTTTAAGGAATAGTATAATACTCAAGGACGTATTAGTCGCAATAGGCTTGTTTTCTATTTCTGACTAATAATTAATTTAACTTAAATCTTAACAAATAAATAATTTGAAAACTATTATACTATAAAAAAAAAACATTGTTTTATTAATTTTGACATCAGTTCTATGTTGAATTTGAAATAAATTTGTTTTTAGTGTAGCAATCATCAAGGCATCAACTTTTTTGTTGATTAGAAACTGGTAGTCTTAAGAAACATTAGTATTACAAAAGCAACTTCTCAATTCCCTTCTGTTTCTAAAATAATCAATCATAATCCTGAGTTGAATTTCTTCTCTATCATATAATTATTACAAAAAGTGATACGCAAGGGATCACACACTCAATAAAGGTCAAGTCAAGAAACTAGACATCTGTCCATTAAGAGAAGTATCAAGTTACGAACAACAATCCTTGAGATATTCGAAAGGTTACGATATAGATTAAGTCTGAAAGCAATCAACTTCAGAAACAGAAAAGTTACTACGCTTTCGGATTGCTGATTATATGAAATTATTGATGTCGACATTCATCATCGAGATATAATCGTAACTGAAGTTGAAACTAAAATGCTCAGCGAAGATCTTTCGTGCAGTTAAGAGTAATAATTTGCCAGCCAGTCTTTCCTCTCCTAGAATGGCTTATGAAATACTTGAATAGCTCTCTTCTAATAATAACTTACCAATAATGGAGTTCATCACGACCTAAAATAGAAAAGAAACGAATATGGTGTGAGTGATAGTGTGGGTGTCTTGTTTTCGTTCACACCCACACCCTCAAGGAGCGACAAAAGAGTCATCGGTCGTTGGCTGAAACTTCTAAAAATGTAGCATACTCATCAATGACTTCATTTTTACAAGCATCTGATGATTTTTTCTCGTTTGGTTCAACATCTTTAGCTATAATTTTAATTCATCTCTTCGTCAAATCATCAATCCGTAACACTCTTTCTGTAAAGATAAATCCATCGAGATTTTGAAAAGTATAGGTAATGTCAACTAGAAAGCTTTCTTCCTTTTTCAGTAAGATCATTTGAAGTACAAGTCGCATATATAAAAATCAACCAGATAAACCATAATATATATCCTTTTTTGTTTGACAGTGAGATAATATATAGTATTTTCTTTTACTATACACTGTTTATAATGTTCAGCATCGTTTTGATTGTCACCCAACAGTATCATTCTCACAAAACTAATCAGTAAATTATTTGTAGCTTGATCAGAAAAGAAAATTATGTCATATGATGCGGTTAAGAAAGAATGAAAAGTACAATCTGACTATTAAACGTGTTGCGAGTAGTTTACTAATCGAAATAAAGTGTGTGAGAGAGAGGAAGCGAAACAAACTGATAGTGTCACACAGAAAATGATTTCCACGTGAAAATATCTGTTTCTGCGAGAGACGAAGTAAATGTTGATATTTAACGTAAAAATAGAATGGACTTGTACATGATGATGATTACTCAAAACTGTGCAGAATTATATTTTGGCATTTGCCTTGGAAGATAATCAAAATATGTTTTCAAATGATTTGCTTTTTTCTCTTATAAATTCGATTTTAAAGGTTTCAGCAAAAGTTCATTGAATCCAATTTGGTCCGCACAGTGTAGCTAATCAAATTTTCGATACATCATCCTGGGAAAACAAGTGTAGATCTATGCTTGAATAATAAACACATGATTATGCACAGAAATGTTTGCTCTACCTATTTCGGTAGCTAAAAAATGTGTTATTCGGTAAAAATAGAAAAGTTATAGAGGGAAAAAACATGACTGATTGAACCTACCCGATTCTACAGGATATATTTATAAGTGCATTCATCTAAAATATTTTTTTTCCTACTCATATATGCGGCTGGTGCTGCAAATGGTGTGTCTCAGTCCGTCATTCTCGTTTGTGAATCTATTTTCGTCTTGGAATAAAAACGTTCCTATTAATTGATTTTAACTATCAAAATAGTCATAGTTTTCACTAACATATGATCTTGTTGGTTACAAATATCAATATTATTTAACTAGTTTTATTAACATTACTAGTCAAAAAATTCATTACAAGCAAAATGTGTGATAGTGAAGGCAACATTTTGTTTACTGGGTTATTGTGAAACAACGACTAGTATCTGACTTTTTAGAATGTACCAGATAGATATAACTTCGATGACTATCAAAATTTACTACAATTTCAGAAATATCTTGCTGATGACTAAATCTCGCCAGCATATTAGGTTACGAATTTGCTAGTTCATTGAACGTATTTAATCAGGAGAGAATGTCTTCCAAGTCAGACAAGCGTTGAAAATAGGCGTAAAAAGCGCACATTTTGATCCGTTAAAATGTGTTCTTTTTTGTTTTGAATCAAATAATTTCCTCATTGTTATTGTTCGCAAGCTTCCTTTATTTTCCGAAAAAAACTTCAATTTCATGAAACGTAAAAGTGTGCGCTTTTTACGCGTAGAAACACCGTTTTTATCAACTTTTGCCTGAGTGGGTTGTCAATGCTAGCATATTTGTATAATTTTTCCTCTATCCCGGCCGCTAACATATGAAATGATTCTGGCAAATAGAACCTCATGTTCTATATGAAGAAGAAGAAAAAACCCAAGTTGTTTAACAAAAGACTTTTCTATCAAGACAATAACCATTAACGATCTCGACGACATCATATAAAATATATATTTGATCAGTGATTTTTCTGAGTCAATGACCTGTGTAAATGATCGATTAGAAAATGATTGTTTCATTTATAGCACGGAATTTAGAATAAGTGGCACGGCTAATTGCAGAAATATCTTCGCACAATTCTGTGTAGCGAGAGAGAAAGCAGCCGATGTACTTCAGAGTCATTGCTGAGGAAAACTAATTGTAAAATCTTTTGTTGTGTTGACTCTACCTGATTTCTATCTATATACGTGCTAGTCTATTTCATAAATAGAATTATCGTGTTTCTTTGATGTAAGTTTCAGTCACTTTTATTAATTTTCTTTGACAGTACCAATACACCTATTGCTCACACCCTTAAGAACAAATAGAGACGCAGGTTGATGCTATGATTGAAAGTGACATGTAGTAGATTTTCATGACTCTTTAATGGTTTCTTAGTTGCATAAGGTTCTACCGTAACGTACGGTAATGATCGTTTGTTAGAGCAAATAATTAGTCTATTGCCTTTTAAAATTTCTATTGGTTAGATCCGCGATATTTCTATTGTGTTTCAAAAGTTTTTAATCAAAAACTCAAATATTTTGTATAGCTTTTCGGATCTGATGGCTCAATCCATGATGAGTAAACTATTCATTCAACCTGTAATATGGTATCATTTGATCTTTACTCGTGTAGAAACAAGGATGAAGACCACATAATTTAGAATCTCTTTTTTTGGGCTTGAAAGAAACATTTTATTAACCTTGTAATAAAGAAAAAAACAGAAAGTCGCTCAATCAGGGAAGTGTCACCTTGTTTTGTACCCGACAAGATCAACCGAGTGAATAAGAATGTTTAGAAGCACTTTTAGAATGTCTGATCGTGGGTTCTGTGTGAAAGTGCTGACAACCATTTAATGAGACACGAAAAACAGTTGTTTATATTATAAACGATATGTAAAAGTGCAAGTTTTTAATCTGGAAAACATCCAAATAGTGCATTCTCCATATTTTTCTTGTGAAATACGTATAGAAATAGTCAGTTTTTTTTTATCGGAAGACAACATCAAAACATAGCATATTTTCCAGATGTAAAACTTGTGTTGATAAGTAGTTTTCTTTCTAATGAACGTGGTTTACTTTAATGTGTTTATTTAATGTTTCTGAAGGTTTCAAGAAAAAGTTCTAAATTAGATTTTTTAAATACGTTTTCTGAGAAAGTTTATCTGTTTGGACATTGAAAATCGAATATAAAAGCAGTAGCTGAAATATCAATAACTAAAGACATTTCAATGGTGTTTTTTCTCTATTATATGACTTGAGCAACATTATGAATCGTATATGTCATTATCTTCTACCATAATTAAGTATTTTTAATCATGTATATACCAATGTTTCTTCTGTCACCATTCAACTAACAATAATTATATCAGCCAATCAATGATTTCCTTTTCTTTTCTGTTAATTTTAGCAATCGATAATAATAAGGATTTGTCTTTTTTTTTCTTGTTTTCATCCATTACACAGAAGATGCTTATGTTTGACAAGTTAAAGCGTTTTTTATATTGACAATAATGCTAAGCGTTAGATAATAAAACAACATCCAACAAAACGCTTCAGGTAATGGATGAAGACTTAACAGATCAAGAAAAGTACTCGTTTAGACAATAAATATAATATAATGTTTTTTTTTGTAGTTTGTAAAATTTCCCTAATCAAATAGGTCTTCTAGGATCGTAGTAAAATTTCCGAACAAATAGGGAAATAAAAAATATTATAGAAAAAAAACTTACTTTCATATGTTCTAAAGAGTTGTTTAACAGATCAGAGCCTCCTTTTTTCTTGCTTATTAATATGCCATTTTTAAGTGCATGGAAATCTATTCATACGATTATACTTCCGTTGAAGCCTTTAGTCATTGACTAATTCAACAGATTTTATTTTTATTCTTGTCATTTTTCGTAAAAGAGGTTTATAGATGGAAGAAAAAGACAAGTCACTCTGCATGCTACATCTATTAGACATAGAATTTGTGTTCTCATTCACGGTTTTGTTCGTGCAGTAATTTAATGATACTTAATTGAAGAAACATGTAGTTTACGTACTAAGCATCAGAGCTCCGCGTGGGACGCGATGGGGCGAACATTTTTAGAAAATTTTAAGCAGACAACAAAGAATCAAAATCTCTTTCGATATGATTCTATGATATGCATACTATATCTGTCCATTAAAATTAAGATAGCTGTCTTAGATGACTATTGAAAGCTTACATTCGTTTTTTTTAAATATTTTTGGTAAATTGAACAACATATACCGAAAATGTTTTAACAATTGAGAATGAAATTTGAAAGCTGTCACTTACGTCAATAAATATAATTTTGATGGATAAAGATAGTAAGCACATAATAGAATCACATCGAAAGAGACTTCGATTCTTTGTTGTCTGCTTAAAATTTTCTAAAAAAGTTCGTCCCATCTCGTCCCACGCGGAGCTCTGCTAAGTATCTTCAATATACAAACATCACGACATCGTGAGTATTATTATTATTATTGATCTCGTAGATAAATCGTACCACATGGATCGTCTTCATATCTTAATTTGATTGCTGTACGCATTATCGAAGAGCAAACATGAGTCTCGGTAAAATCATATGATATTGGAGAAAATGTTTGCTCATGATTCAATTTAAATTATGCAAGAAAAATGCTTTTTAGTGGATATTTTAATCCATCTGTATTAAAATTAGTACTTACGAGTATTTTTTATTTGTTGTCATGTTGTCGAAAATGTCATTCGCACATTGAAACAATGGAAACTGCATTACCATCATCATGGATGATAGACCGAACAAATACTAATATTGCTAATATGCCTGATGAACAACGACTTTTCTACACGCTTATGAATGGCTATGAAAAAGCTGTAAGACCAATAAGAAATGCATCAGATACGGTACTACTTAAACTCGGTATCACATTGACCCAAATTATGGATGTTGTAAGTGATTTAGAAAAAAATAAAAATATCAATGATTTTTTAATTTTCTATATTTAGGATGAACGTAATCAAATTATGACAACAAATATCTGGCTTGACCAAGTAATAGTTATTTTTGTAATCAAATAATGGTCAAAAACTCTCACAGTTCATTCATCATTTTTGAGATCAGACTATTTGCATCATATAGATTCCAATGAAAATCAATTCTCTGAAAAGCATGTATATTCTTATTGTAGGAATGGACTGATGAATTTTTGAAATGGGACCCAGATAATTACAGTGGTTTAAAAAAACTCCGTATACCGTGCCGATATATTTGGTTACCTGATGTTGTTCTATATAATTCTGCCGATGATTATACACAAGGATATATGCAAGCATTAGCAATGATCGATTCAAATGGAACTGTCTTTTGGCCACCTATAGTTAAATTTCGGTCGACTTGCAAAATTGATATCACTTGGTAAATCATTGTTTGTTTGTTTTTTTCCTAGTAAAATTCGCCACTTTCTCATTTTCTGTCATCAAGGTTTCCTTTCGATGATCAATTATGTTTTCTAAAATTTGGTTCTTGGACTTACGATTCTACTCAAGTAATCTTAACAAATCGCTCAGAGTCTGTCGATACTTCAAATTATGTAGATAATGGTAGATTGTATTTTCTTTTTAATTATTTCGATATCTTGTATTTTTCTGTATGTATAAATTAAAGGCGAATGGAAATTAATATCATCATGGACTATTCTATCGAGAATAACATATCCATGCTGTGATGAATCATTTTATGACTTAAAATTTTATTTTCATGTACGCCGGCGAACATTATATTATATTTATAATGTTATGATACCTTGTATAATGCTTTCTATATTAACATGCTTAACTTTTTATCTGCCAGTAGAATCAGGTGAAAAAGTGTCACTAGGTTTAACAGTTCTTCTTGCTTTTTCAGTATTCATGTTATTAATTGCTGAAGCCATGCCAGCAACAAGTGAATTTATTCCTTTGATTGGTAAAATTAATTTTACCGAACATTTATCAAAAGCCAATAGTTTTATTTTTTAAGGGATCTATTTTACATTAGTTATGGGCTTAACAAGTTTATCGGTTTTATTAGCTGTTGTTCTACTTAATATTCATTTATATGGCTTAGCATTGAATCCAGTTTCGCCTCGATTACGACGTATCCTATTTCATCATTTAGCACCACTATTACATGTTCAATTACACCGTGGAACTCAATATGGTAAACAAAATCATCCGCGATATTCAACAGTCATCACTCCTCGTCGTGCAACAACAATTTATAATGCCGTGTTCTTGAATGAACGCGATCTTCTAGCAGATGGTCAGCAACATATATCGTCGCATACGTTTCAATCAGCAACAATGCATGGAAATAACATCGATGTTGATTCAATATCGACGACAGATGTTCAAACAGCACCACAATCCTTAAGTGAATGCAAACGTCTTCTTACTGAACTCAATCGTCTTATTCTTCGTCCAACTGAAACACAAGAAGAAGACATTATCATACGTGATTGGCAAAATGTTGCATTAGTTATTGATCGTTGTCTTTTCGTTTTATATATTTCATCAACTATGTTTTTAACTATAATAACCTTAATTTTAGCACCTTTACTTAAAACTGTTCCAAAACAACCGAATTATCATCAATTAAATATCACAATGGATTAATGGAAGAATGGTTCTTTTATTTTTTTTTACACAATTCAACTTCATCGACGTGCTTTTTTTTATTAAAACGAAAGAAAAAATGAAAGTTTCTAAATCTGCAATCGGATTATTCTCGGTTGGCCAATAACACACGACATTTTTCAATAAACACTTCCTAAACGAACATAGTCTGCTTAACAAAAAAATATTTTGTCACAATGTTTCATAAAAATGGCAATGTGCCGTATATAATCTTGTAGTTAGTAGATTTTGCATGAATAGAAAACATGTACTATTAGCAGAACGGATAATTTGAAATATTATGAATAATTAATTTTTATATCAAAGTAAATTTAACTCGGATTTGTTATTTTTTTTTTCTTTCTATTCTCTAGATCAGCATGATTTTTGATTTTGAATATTTAACTGAGACAAAAAGAAAAAGAATTCAACTTCATATTTCTCGAACTTTTTTTTAAATACAAAGATGTAGAGACCTTTTATTTAGTTTAGATCGACAAGAATGACATTAATCTTAGGCATATGCCTCCATCTCATTGGTAATAAATATATATACTGAACGAGGTTTCAACCATTGTACAGCAATAGTTGGTCTCTACAATAAAGAATATAACATAAACAGCTGCTTGTCAAGTCGCTGGAGTAACAAGACCGAAGCAAACAAATATTTTATTTTAATTTGCTTGCACAGACTAATATTATCATGTTGAGAATTTCTTCTTTTCAGTAAACCAACGAAACTCTCCAAAACTATGATAAGATTTATCAGTTATAAACATTTCTGACTAACCAAGATAACAATATTAACTTTTTTTCTATTTAAATTGCGTCTTAAATGAGGAATGTAGAGTCGAACTCGAACATCTTCTTTCTTGTTTTGTTTGTCCTTCAAAATTATCTTTTCTCACCAGTGGTCACACAAATGACCAATGGAGAGTAGATGGCTACCATTACAATATCATAAGATACTTTTTTTTGCAAATCCTATTAATGAACCCCTCGAAATTAATACTCATTTGAAATAGACATTTCTCATCAAAAGTTGTTAAACCAAATGCGTTATGATGACTTTGCAATAAGAAATTTCGTTGTGTAAAGAGTAACAGTCGAAATTATTATTTCGTTTATCAGTATGAAGAATAGTGCCTCATCATTACTGTCATGAGATGATGTGGTAAAAGATGTCGAATTTCACTAGGTTCTATATTCACTAGAGGCCATCAAAAAAATGTGTGTCATCACAGGTAAATCTATTCGAAAATATTACAAAACAAAAAATAGAAAGAAGACGTATACTGGTACGCGTTATCTATTTTCTATAAAGTTCATGTCTCTCTACTCGTCTCGTATATATTTATCACGCTTTACACTCAGTTAAAAAGGAATGTAGTTATCAACAAAACAAGAGGTATTTTACAAATTTTCGCATATACAAATGAAGCGATATATTCTACGTGTACGATCAAAATGAAATAAATATGTGAAAGCAGATAGTGTCTTTTTTTTGTTTATGTTTGAATTAAAAACTAAGCAAATTGAAGTATTATTTTTATTTTACTTTTAAATTTCAGATGAAAGCTTCCATTTCAGCTTTGCTTATATTCAGTTTATTGTTCCATGAGGGAATCAGTCTGTCAAATGGAATACCTTCGAGCGCATGTGATAAAATCATACTGAAGCAATATAATGTGGATCCTACAGCTTGTTCATCGAATTTTATTATCAAGTCTTCGACATCGAGTTATACAATTAATGAACCCGTTAAAAGTAAGTTTCTACAATTATATCTATGAGAATAAAGTGATTCATATGTATGTTTCTATTTATAAATATATAGTCACAATCAGCAGTACTAAACCAGATACAACCTTCACCGGTATTTATTTATTAGCTCAAGATCGTAGTAGTACTAAAATTGGAAGTTGGAAAACAACAGATTCATTAGTTGAAAGTGCATCATGTAATGGCCTGATGCATAAATCAAAAGTAGAAAAAACTAGCATTGAAGCTGTTTGGTATCCTACAGTAAATGTTGCTGAATATATTACAATCAAGTATAAGATTTTCTACTAGATTAACTGAATATCTATGCTTATCTTTATTTAATTAGAGCAATAATTATTGAAAATGATAATACGATCTATGTTAATTGTTACAATGTCATTATAACTCCTCGAGTAAGTAGAATAATTATGATAATTTGTAACATTGGGATCAAATTATATGCATTTCTATTTTGACTATTGAAAGATCCGAGCTCGTTATTTTAAAATAAAATAAAATAATCATAAATATTTTCTATAGACAATCAATAATTCGTTATTCAACAATGGAAACGATTCGACAACCGATGCGACAACAACTACGGCTGCTAATACTACTGAAACAGCTAATACCACAATGATAACCACAACAGAAGCTATGAATACTACCGAAGCAGCTAATACCACAATGGCAACAACATCAACAGCTATGAATACTACTGAAACAGTTCACACTACCATGCCAACTACATCAGCAGCTATGACTAGTACTAGTCCAAGTGCTGCAAACACAACAAAGACTCCTGCGCCAACAGCTGGTGTTTCCGTTAATGTAACATGGACATACAGCAATATGACCCATACTACCGATGTTCTAATGACTATTCACAATTTAAAAGCACAACAATGGACTGCTGTAGGCCTTGGATCACAACAAGCTATGGTAAATAATCAATATAAAATCTTTTAGTAGAGATGAATTTCAGTTTTGCATGTTTCTTCTATATTCACCTTGGGAAATAATTTAATCACTTTTTTTCCAGTACATACATGTAGAAAAAAAGATGTTCTTTTCTTCTCGTAGGGTGAAGCTCATGTATTTATGTGTAAACGACTTGCTAATGATACAATTGTTATAAACCGTTATATAAATCCTGATGGTCATCATCATCCTGAACATGCCGGATCAGAGCAAGGTGGCACATTTACACCTATTAAACAAGAATTCAATAATGGTGTTGTGTTGTGTCAGTTCAGTTTATCGAATTTTACCGATGGATCGATTGAAGACATAGAAACTATTGACCCGCTTTCGCCATCAAAGTTATATTATCCATTGTTCGCTATCGGACTCCTGAATAGCACTACTAGTAAGTCATCTTTTCAGAGCAAAGTATTTTGAGTAAAATATTGATTTAACTTTGTTTCCTTACGAAACATATCATATCACTATAGCTAATAGTAGTAGCATGCTAGTCCTTAGAGAAAGTTTTCAATTGATAGTTCAAACAGTGCTGTATGATTTCGTTAAAGCTATTGATTCATCAACGATTTGAATGAAGCAGAAGAAGAGAGAATAACTGATTTCATCAATCAAAGATCTGACATGTTACTGATTCATACTATCTCGTTGAGATGAATTATCTGTGAACAAAATTCTCATAATGATTGTATCATTAGGTTTTGTTTTTCTTCTCTTTTTAACTATTGTATGTATGTTTTAGATGAGCCAAGAAAACATGGAGATGATTCACACACAGCTCTATCCGATAGGGTTCAATTAGATCAAGATATAAGTCTATTCTACAAGATGGGAACTCCCGATTCTAGTAGTTCACTCAAATTTTTACGCGCACACGGAATTATTATGATCTTCACATGGATATTAATCGTTTCAACCGGTGTTCTTATTTCACGCTATTTCAAAGTTTCTTGGGCCAACAGTTTTATCTGTGGTAAAGCTGCATGGTTTGCCTCTCATCGATTTATTATGAGCGTGGCTGCAATTCTTACACTGCTTGGATTTTTCTTCGTTTTAGCTTTTCTTAAAGGTGCATGGGTTACGAAGGGTTCCACACGACAATATGCACATTCAGTAACAGGCGCTATTGTAATAAGTTTAGCTTTCTTTCAACCGTTCATTGCATTATTCCGTTGTGAATCCGACAGTAGATTCAGATTTATTTTCAATTTGGTCCATGCATTTGTCGGCTTTTCGTCATTTATTCTCGCAACTACAACACTTTTTCTAGCAACTTATTTTGAAATTTTCAAAGATCACAAAGGTCGTACTATGATGATAATATGGTCGATGTGGGTTGCATTAATATTTATTACTTTCGAAATTATTCAATCTTATTATCGAAAGAAAGCGGGCGAATCAAATTATACAAATATTAATGCATCTAATGCAGGTCTAGGAGAAAATGTCGAAGGTCCAAAATCTTCAACTACTCCATTAGGTATTTTTGCTAATGCAGAAGAAAATTCATCACAAACAAAAGTAAAAAATGTTCTTCTGGCTGTTCATGTGCTTGTTGCTGCCATAATATCAATTGTGATGGCAACAAATCTTCAATCGTGATGATAAATTCATAAAGTACCCTATTTTTAATTAATAATTGAATTCCATTGAAAATATTATCATTGTTTGTGTTCTAGTTTATTGTTGAAAATAATAACAAAACAAAATAAATGTTAAAATTTTACAAAAAAGATACACATCACTGAAGAGAATGTTTTTTTTTATAATGATCACACGCGCATTTTTTTAGCCGTACTCTTATCACTTTTGATCACTCTTGACGTTATACTACCACTAGTACTAGCAATACTATCGTTACGCCAAGCTTTTACTTTTGATAATTGTGTATCGGTATTTTGTAGTACATTGTTTTGTGCTGATACTTTTTCTTCCACATCTGTTGATTTAGTAGTTTCTAATAGTAGTTTATCGCGTTCGTTTTCTAATCCTTTTAAAATTATATAAGTATGTTGTAAGAGTATTTCATCGTTAACATCAATTGTTTGTATATCGCCTTCGGTGATATTTCCAGTCCATAAATCAGTTCGTTCAAGATAAATTTGTATTGGTACATCAAGACTAACGCTCACATTGGATAGAACACGTACCATCAAGCGTTTAAGTATACCAATCCATGAATGAATATTTTGCAGCGAAGATGCAATAGTTTCTTTTCTAAATGTGAAATCACTGAATTGTTTAATTATATTGAGTCGTTCTTCGGATTTGAAAAATTCTTCAGTTAGATTTTGCTTTATATAATGACGTAAAACTTGATCGAATGCAATTTCTTCTATTAATTCATAGAGATCAATAATATATTTAAGATTAATTGTTGCAAATGGTGGACGTTGAAGAACATTGTCGTTGAGACAAACACTTGAGCGTACATATTTTTCGACAAAGGATTGAATTGTTAACATATTATTCGTTGTTTCATCATCAATATTACGTAGATAAGTAAATACATAGTCAAGTGAACCAAGATAATGAAGAACGTCATCATTTTGCATACTATTAATTAGATTCTTTAATTTAATTTTCTCATTTTGTGTTAACGATTCTTGTCTAATACGTTTTCGAACATCATTGATCAACGATGTATTTTCACTGTAAAGTTCAAATTGATAATTAAGAAAACGTAATTTTTCTGTATCAATCAATGGTAAACAACTAATCATATTTCTTAATGTTATTTCTATTTCTTCATAATCATAAATAATATCTTTACTTTTTCCATATTTATAATTAAGAGTAAAACCATCGGTGATTAATTTCGTACTAATAACATTTGCATCAAGACGAAGTGTATGTTCAGGTCGTATCGATTGAATTGGTATTGCATTTCGGCGATAGCGTTGATTATCATTATCGTTGATTATTTTATTATGAAAAAAATTAACGATTTCATTTTGTAATTCACCTATGGTTCGTAAACATGCAGCCAATAAAATACTACTTTCATCTTTCGTTGTATTTAATAATACCATAGCAAGTTTTGTATTTGTCGCAAAATCTTCCTTCGATGATTCTATTTTAAAATTAACTGATTGACAACCAAAACGTACTTCTTTCAACGTAAGTTCGTGCCAAGCATCAATAAAATCTTTGTACAATCGAGATGTCGTTTCACAATCGGACCCGTGAGTTAAATAATACGAGATTGATGTTTCCGATGCATCGTTACGTTTAATACGATGGTTAAATTTTTCAATTAAATAATTAGTAAACGTAACAATCGGATAAATATATTGAATATTAGCATACTGATGAAGACGTTTCATTAGAAATGTTGTTATTGGATAGATCTGATCTCCGTATGGTATTGTTTGAAGCCGAATATGAAAATCATCTATTGGATTTGATGTGTAAATATTTGTTACGTTGAAAAAAGTTAATAACGGATATTTATGTTCATTTTGAGAAATTTCATCAATAAAATCGTCGATTGTTTCTTCTTGATTCTGTTTTCGAATATAATCAGAATAGGATATTTTGTATTGTTTGATTTCATTTGCAGTTGATTCGATATGATTAAAAATAAGCTTTTCTTCGAGAAGTTTTTCTAGTTCTATAACTTTTTCATTTGTATTCATAAAGCCTTTCAGAATCAAATCTTTATTAACCATGTGATTCGTTAATTGATATAACCATATGTAACATTGTTCACTTTCGGTTATTTGTTGACTAAGAAGTTGATAATCTTTTTCGAAATGTTCTCTAAAATGTGATGGATTATCGACAACAAGATCCGTTAATAGAGATAATTCATTGAGAAATAATAAAGTCACATGCATTATCGTATGCATAAATCGATAAGAAATCGGGCGATTTAAATGATCAGATTTTTCATATCTATTACTTTGTACAGCTGGCGATCTATTGTGATAACCATATCGTGGTTTTCTATTAAATGTTTCCATATAATTATTAATAAATTCAAATCCTTCTTCAATAGTCATTCGAATTTGTGGTGGATCACGTTCAACAAGAACGCCATATTGTGCTGCACCAATATCCTTTCCGCACAATGGGCATTTACTTCGATCAACAGGTATTCCACAATTATGAAAATAAAACATCCAAAAACAATCTCTTGAACATTGATAAACAAATTTGCCTGGCTCATGAATTTGACCTCGATCTAAACGTTCTTTAACCGTTGTACGTACATCCACCATTTGTGTAATTATTGGATCACTCGATAGAAGACCAGGCAAACAAACTGATGATTCAAAATGAGTTCTGTAGTCGTGTGGCATTTTAAGATTTCCATCGAATAGAAGACTACTTAAATAAGAATTATAGCCTAGAGCTTTGAATGATAATAATAGAGCGATAATATTTAATGCGACTACACGTTGATAAAGTTCATCGACTGTCATTTTCGAATTTAAACAAAAATAAGTTGTATTATTAAAATTCTTGCATAGAAAAACAAGTAATTTGTAACCAATCAAATCGAAGCAATCAATTATTTCTTTACTAAGAGATTTTTCAATTAATTGCTGATAATAATTATTTGATGATACCTCATCATTTATATAAAAGCCGGTATAATAATGAATAAACCATATAATAAAGCAATAGGATGTATCTTGTTTTGTTTGACATTGAATAATCAATTGTCGAATTTCATTTGTGTTCGTATTATTGGTTAGAATACGATCGACTCGAAGAAATTCATCATAATATTCACCTAGAGGTGTTGGTAAAGTAAGAACACCACGGATTTCTTTGGTTTTTTGACCAGTTGCTTGAGCGATTACTGGTCGCATCCAAGTTATATTTCGATTAACAATAATATCACGGAATTGATTGAGTGTAATATTTGACATTTGACACAATTGTTTAATAATAAATAATTTTATTGTTGAGCAAAATGGAGAATCATCTCGTGTAAGTAGTCTATCGATATCGTCTAAAATAGAATGATGACTACCATTATTAAAAACAAAAGCATAAAGTTGTGCATAATGTTTTAACCAAGAGATTAAACTAATTAATGATAAACCATAATGATTTTGTGTAGTTTTTATTATTCGAATATTTTCTTCAAATTGACGAAAATTTTCTTGAAGAATATTTTCTATTGTTTCTTTATCGTCGACACTCAATATAAGATGCATATGAATACGTGTAGTCATAATATGTTCAATCTTTCTTGAGGCATCATTTAATTTCTGTATATGTACATCAAATCTTTGATATCTATCCATTAATTCCTGCATATCCTCATTAAATCGTTCATGATCCTCATTCGATGGTAATTTCCCATTGAAGTCTTTAATCATTGATAACAATTGAAGTTTGAGATCGATATAGGTAAAAATTTTTGCCGAATATTGCCAGAGATTACTATCGGATTTATTCATTAACGTAATAATATCTAAATAATTATCCGTATGATCGACAAGCCAATTTTTTAAAAATTCACTTTCAAGTTTAAGTAATGCTCGTTGAACCACCAGTTCGTTTATATTTGGCTCATTTGTACTAATTATTCGTTGTAGATGATCGATAAATTTTTGTATGTCATCACATGTGATAAATGTTGCATCAAACCCACCGTAGCCACATGCTTGCTTGAAGACATCTAAGGCTTTATCAGTAGGTATTAAAGTTGTTATGCAACGAATAAGACTAATAAATGAACGTAATTTTTCCAGATTGTTTACTGAATAATGTTTTAAGCCGAGTATAACTTGGGCAACAAGACTGTATGTTGTTGTTAATTGTTCGATATTGTTAACGCGATTGATAATAGTTGGAGAAACGAGAAATTCAATCAAGTTCATTAGGCTAACTTCAATAAATGGATCACCTTCACATTCAAATATAATTTCATGAGATACTTCTGATTTTGGCGGAATGACACAAAAATGTTCATTAGTTAAAACAAGATTATAGAAAAGAGTTTGATTTTTTATGGTTTCTGTATCGATTTCATTTAAGATAATCAATTGTCGATTGAGTATTTCATTGATAAAATCATTTTCATCAATTAATTTTGTACTAATTTCGAATAATCGTAAAATTTCAAATAATTCATTATAATCAATAAGCAAATATTTTAATTGATCATTAATAGATCTTGTTGGATTCGACATAAGTAAACATTTAATAAATTGCAAAGATAATTGATAGATTTTTGCTTCTTCTTGTGCAAGTAATAATTGATCATTAAAATAATATCGAAATAAATCATTGTCATGAAAAATAATTTCAACATTGGATTCGTAGACACTCTTTGTACGTAGTTGTTTGAGAGCAAGATTCATTAAATCTTCTTCAATAATATTATCATCAAGACGTTGACTTATTCCTCGACGAATTGAACCAATTATTTCGTATTCTTTAATTGCAGATGGTAAATACAAGTTGAAAATTAGTGGCATTTCAATAATATCAACATTGATAACTGTTACATCAATATTTTTTATTGTTGATGTTAAACAATCAAGCCAAATTTTGTTTAATAAACGATTGTCGTTATTCTTACTGATAAATAATAATGAATCGATAAATGAATACTTTTCTAAATGAGAAAATATTAGTAAAAGATAACTTTCATAAAAGGTTGAAATCGTTGATTGCAATGCATCATTAAATGAACGGCAAGTACCAATCAATATTCCATTAGTTAATAGATCGCGACGCCAATCCGAAAATCGATTTAAACTGATGTCTTTTACTAATTTTGACAAATTTTCTTGAATAATCGAACGTAATGATTTCGATTGTATAGTAATGCTGAGATATTCAATAATTTGATTTCTTCGAATATTTATCTGTGTTGTTAGATCGTTACGAGAAACTGTATAACGAAATTTTGTTAAACATCGGTCAATTATTTCATCATACATCGATTCCGATAACTGAAAACAAGGATGAGAAACTAAATCCAGATATGATGGATTGAGTAAAATGTTTTTCGGAATTATTTTATGTTCATTTAAATCATTGATCATTATAGTTGACCAACCATTGAATAAAACTTCGTTGGTTGTTTGATTGAGTAAATTACGTTGAAGATGAAATACTAACCAAACACTTCGATCAGTCGGTTGACTTTTTGAATTAAGTAAAATGTGTTTTAATAATAAAATATGTTCATGTTCTTGATGATAATCAACACGAATAATTAATAGACGACAATGATCTTTCTTTTGATAATGTTGCTTTATTTTATTGGTTAATTCGAGTTCACTTTTAAATATACTCAACTTAACTTCTTCAATTTCATTTGATTTATAATCGATAATATGATAGATTTGTGTATATGTATAAATAATTTGATTGGGTAAAAGTTTTTCATTCAACATTTCTTTAATAATCGATTGAAATGATAAATTTGTATGTAAATCATAATATTGATCTATGAGAGGGTGGTGTTGATCCGCTTGTAATGAAAGTATTAAGAGTAAATCAAATGAACTCGTTGCAATTAATTTATTTTTACAATAATTAATAATTTCAATTGTATTATTTTCATCATCGCAGGATAGATTTAAATTATCGAATGCATCAATCACTAAATTACATATATAATCATTACTATAATCGACAAATAAATGTTGTAAAAGTGGAAAATATTTATTAATATTTGTTGGAAGTAAAGCAATAAGTTCCGCTAGTAAATTATCTGTAATTACCCAATGACGATGATGAATCAATGATTTCATGTCGATCACATGTTTTTCAAAGCGATTAAGAAACGGCGGATCACATTTCGCTAAATCTTCTTTTCGTACGAATACAACACAATAGAAATCATCATGAACAAGACAACGCGGATGATATAAAGCTCCGAGTGCAATTCGACAGTATTGTTTCTTTCCTGATATTGCAAAATTTTGATTAAATAAATCATATAAATTATCATATAAATGTCCCATACGACGCATAACCAATGTAACATTTGTTTCTGCATAAAGTATAATATCCATCAGTACACGATAATTATATTGTTCAGTATAGGTTGTGCCAGATATTAAATCTCCTGAAAAACAACTACCGATTAATGTTCGTACGGATGGTGGTTGATGTTTAACAATAATATATCTTTCAACATAATCAATTACACTTTCATTATCAGCAATTAACATTAGATAACGTCCATGACGTGACGTTAATCTTAGATCAAGTAATTCTTTAAATGTCGGAGCTTTGTATTGTTCAATCAAATGTGTACTTTGAATGTATTCACAAAAACAATTCCACATAAACTGTGAACCATCGAGAATACCATCGAAATTGATAATTAATTGTTGACGAATATATTGATATTGTTCATGATCATTTTGCGTTTGAATTAAATCATTAACAACGCCTTTTATGAGCGAATAAAAATCTCTTAGACCAAAATAATTCGTATATTTTTGTTGTTCTTGTTGACTTTTTAAGTGTTCATACAGTTTATAGTAGGAAACTGCTAGTGCTTCAATTATTTTTGGATCGATTCGAGCTATTTGACCGACGGATGGTAGGATAGACTTCGATATGATTTCAGCTGTTAATTTCAAATCAGCAATGTCAGGATCTGGACACGATAAATAAAGAGTACGATTCATTTTCGACGCATCAAGACGCCAATTCGATAGGCCAACAAAACCATATTGACATGTTTCAACTTCAAGTTTGCTATGCAATACTTTCAATGGATTGTGCGTGGATAATTCTGCTAAGCCTATTTCATCGAAAACAATTACCGGTAAAATATTTGCGTCGCTTTTAGCATCAAAATATTTATCAGCACGTTGAAATACTTTAATAATACTTTCCGATGTGCAATTTTGTGAACCTTGATATGAAACAGTAATTAATTCAGGTAGTTTTTGAAAATATTCATCAGACGATTTCTTTCCTTTTAAATTACTAATCACAATTTGTACAGCTGATGTTTTACTGCAACCTGGTTTACCACATATGATGACAGGAATACGATTAACAATGCAAACAAGTAGAACAAATATATTGTCCATCAATGCATGATTTCTAGCTGTACCTGCAGGTAATTTCATTCGTTCGATTAATTTTGTTTGTTCCATTTCAAGAATTTTCGCCAAAATATTCGGAATATTTTTTAGATTGGGCAGGTGAGGTTTAAGATAAGCGCCCATTTTATTTGAATAATTTTCTCGATCAATGGGCGAACTAAGACGAAAATGATAGCAAAGTAGCAGAGCAACTAAACTTGAACGACGAATAAGAATATCTGAATTGTTAAGAAATTTTTCTGTGCCTTCACGTTCAACAATTGATTTATAAAACCAATTATAAAGACGACAAAACCGTGCTACATCACGTAATGACACACTACTAACATCTTCAAGATCACGAAAGAACTTTTGTGATTGTGAAATCATTACTACAACAAGATTATACCATTCTGTATAATCAGTAAGTTTTTCACATGTATGTAACATTGTTCGAATATATTTCTGTTCTATAGCATCATCGAGATAACCATAATCCCAGACATATTCAAGCATAGTTTCAGGTATTGGCACAACTGTATATAATAGTGATATGCCGGAACCGTCTTTCAAACGTTGCATTTCATAAAGATCTTTCTTAATGCCAATGTGATTATCAATAACTTTGTTAGCTTTTCTACGTCGTTGAGGATTACAAGCACCTAATATAACCATATTATCAGGCAACGGTTCGCCGAGAAGTGTGCGTTCACAAGTTATTTCTTTAATTAAACCAATATTTGGTGTTGTATTAAATTCATCGAGAAAAATCCATAAACGTTTATCGTAGAGAAGACATTCATTTGCTCGTTTAGAAAATTCATAAATTTTTTCTATGATTTGTTCATTGGTAACACCAGCATGAATACGAAATACTTCCATTTCATCGTCGAGAACTTTTTGACATAAAAACTGTATTAATGCAGTTTTTCCACAGCCTAAAAAAATTCAGTAAAAAAGAACTTGTAGATCAGTGACTCACTCGATGGACTTTATTTTTCGGATAGTATTGCTGAAAGTCAATGAAAACTAAAAAAAACGTCTTAGCTGAAGGTTTCTAAGATGTTCTTCTTTTCTTTTTTGAATATTGTCAAAAGAATTTCTAACGATAATTAATAAATTGAATTCTTTTTATTAATTATCGTGTTCTCTACATCGGTCAATTTTCTAGTTTCATCGAAATTCGCTTCATATTGAAATGGATTTTAAATTCATCTATTTCAAATTACCTGTTTCGCCCATAATCAGTACCGGAAGGCCACTTTGCACACGTAAATAAATCAATAGCATTTTAATATAATTATCTGGCGTTAAAACATATTCCATTTGAAGTTTTTCGGCGATAAATTTTTGAAACTTTTCAATATCTTCCGATTTCGATGAAATCGGTCGTATTAACATTTCATTGGATTCACACCGAACACATTGTGTTTGACTATAATCATATTGTCTATAACATTTAAGACATATCGATTTATTAAAATATTTTTTTGATAATGTAGCAAGCTTTAAAAAAAGCGTTTCATGCGTAAATTGACTATAATCAGGAAAGCAAGTATTCAATTGTTGATTCTTATTTCCTGTGATTATTTCATAATGTAATTGAAATGCTTGAACAAGTGATGTTGGAACATCATTTGGTCTTTTATAAACAAATATTGGGTCTCCGCCTGAAGAAAACACGACTGAAAATGGTTGAGTTCTATCCCAACGAATAATAGCGTCACTAAATGAAATAGCTGTTTCGTTACTACTTGCAGAACGTTGACTTTTTCGTACATCTTCAACGCATAATGACGTAAATTGATTTGATGATTGAAGTAAAGTTCGTAGAATATCTAAACGCAATTGTGGATTTTCTACATGATCAATAAGGAAATAGCCACAGCGCGAAAAACCAGAAAATAAACTATGATAAACCGATATACAGATCGATAGTTGTGTCCAATTAATATATGTAGGATCTCTATATTGAAAGAATGATTCGTTTAATAAATTCATACAAGTCGCTGGAAGAAAACTATCTAAGCTATCGTCACCGATGTTCTTTTTCAGAATTGTTTTATCTTTTATGGCTTGAAGATAATTACAAACTAATTGAATCACTTTTTGATCGTTGATTTCAAAATCATTCCAATCTATATTATCAATATGTTTAGAATTCATAAATTTAAATAGAACAATTTTATCTTGTAAATGATCGGAATGAGGCGATGAATCAAGTTCGATGTAAATTGGCACATTCTGAGGAACATAAACAGCAACACGTCCCAGACGAAAACTTCTAAAAAGTAAAAGACAATAGAGAAGTTCATTGAGTTGTTTCGTATTGTTAACGGCTCCGATATCAATATGTAAAGCTGCATTGGATGACGCCAATGGATATCCATAATCACGTAAACGTTCAGCGATCGTGTCGACATCAATATCGCCACTAATAGGAAATTTCATATAGTTTTTTTTCTTTCTATCAATTTCTTTCTTTATGAAATACGATTTGCCTAAACCGTTGATTCTTGATGTAACTAAAGTAGAATTTTCATCAATAAATTCATTGATAATTTGTTGCAAATCATTTCTATTTAACATATCTTGATCATGAATAGTTTGAACAAGTTGAAGTGTTCTTAAACCGTTTATCAATTGTAAATGAGCATTGGATACTGTTGTTATTATTCCTAGACGAAAATAATGTTGTGGATGATCGTCAACCAGTTGTCTTACTAAACGTGTAAAGCTATCGTGAATAAATGTTGATAATAATTCAGGTCGAATCAATTGATGAAATATTTGAGAATAGAAACAACGATAAATAAATGCACGAATCTCTGTCCAACTTGTTTCTTCTGTACAATAGAACAAGAGATTAACAGCAATGGGCGTATCAAGTGTCTTGAACAATGAAAGTATTCCTCGTAATATACCTTCGTCAGACGTTTCAACTAAGTAAACTTTTTTAATAAGACGATTTTCTTGTTTATAAACTGAATTCGTTGTTGATCGTTGTGCTGTTAAAATTTTTCCGATGTTTTCTAAACGTTCATTTGGATTGTCGGCCTTTAATGGTAAACAGTCAAAATGAATCGTTTCCGGTTGTATACCAATATATTTTAATAGGTGATAACCAGAATGACTTGCATTTAATTCTTGTAGTTGATTGTATAAATAATCTTCTACGACCCAAATTTGTCGATAGGAAAAATAAGTTAAGTCAATATGTTTTCCATACATTTTACATAAATATATTTCCCAATCATAAAGAAGATTGTCAAGCATTACACTGAAATCAATTAATTCTTGATAGTTACTATCAATGCATGTAAATGATTTCTTTGGTGAAAGATAATTCATGGTTGATGGATGACCGGCCGTATGTAATAATGAGAAATTTTTCAAGACTTTTTCAACAATTTCAACGAATATAACAAACGAATGAAGTTCTTTTATATCGTGTTCTGAACCAATGGAAAATTTATTATTGTTATTTGTTGAATATTCAATTAATCTTGCTCGATCACGTAATTCACTTAAATCATTAAAACTCATTGCGTGAGGATCGATATCAATATTGAATTTATTTGATTTTTCAATGAAACCAAATTTTGTATTTCGCATTAGATCGGATATACGTTTTCGTTTCGACAGTTCCTTGTCGGTTAATTCCAAATGTATACGCTTAATACTTGTTAATGATGCTGAACATGTTTGAAAACATGAAAGCATATTTTTAAATTGTTCATCTTTATAGTTTGTTTCGAAGGCTTTTTCAATTTTTGCAGTAGTAAATTGTGATGAATTGTCTTTCATTGAATCTAGTTCTATATTGAATCGAACGAAAAATCGTTTCAGCATAACGAAATCTAAAACTGTTTTAGTATTTATTAATGTTTCATCCCAATCGTTGACAGCTTGCAGTAAATTATCAACATCAGTCGATGGGAGAAGATTTAAAAATGAAATTAATTCATTCGATTGACTGTATTGAGCAATAAAATCGATAAAGTCTTTCGAGTGAGTTTTAAGAAGATGCGATGAAAAATGTTGATAAAGCCGGTGACAGTGAGAGCCATCTGATTGAGAATTAATTTCCATAAGTTTTCTAAAGTGTTTGCCATCGATGTTTAAGGAGTTTTCTACATGAGTGACTAGATTAATATAACCATAACATACGTGATTAATATAGTCGCGATCTTTCCAATAATCTAATATTAATTTAATTTTTTCCATCTCATCAGAATGTAGTAATGATCTAAGGATTTGAAAATCATGATCGACATATTGAATATCAGGAAATAAAACAATTATTTCAGATATTGGTAAATGTTTCCACTGAGAACAAATCGTTTTTAAACGAGTAAGAAACTTATCGAGAATTTTATCAGATTCATTTAATATTTCAATGCAAGAACGTTGATCCAATGGAGTAGTTTCTTCGGAATCATCTCTTGCTGCAGGGCGTACCATACTATAATAGGAATTTGATGATGTGCGCTCTAAATCAAAGAGAATATTGCAAAAATGTTGCTAGCTATCTGAGCTTTCATATTTGAAATAGGGTAGCTCAATGGCATTAATTTCTACCGAGATTTTGGCAAGGTGGGTTTGTTCCAATGGGTAATGCTAGAAAGAAGTCTTATGCTGATGTTAGTTAGTTTTTTTTTATGAAGTGTTGTAAGACTTCGACGTCTATGAAAACGGGAGAAGTATGAAGTATCTATTGAGGCTGTGTAATTCTTGAATTACAATCAAAAATTTCATAGGCTCATAAAACATACGCATACATACTATTATCAGATAATAATGATTCATCATCGATGATATCCGATGGATTCGGATCTGTTGTTTCAGACGAATTATTGTCACTATCTATAGAAATGAAAATTAATTTTTCTAAATTTAAAATACTATTAAAATTTACCCTTTCGATTTTCTTCTAAGAATGTTCTCCATGCATTTAATTTTTCTAATGCAGCAAACCGATCAACGAGTGGCATTAACAGTTTAATTTCATCCGGTATCATTATAGAACGAACTATGTCGGATTTTAATTTTGTTTCCATTTCCGATAGAACATCAAGATACAATTGTTTATCACAAGCATTTCGACAGTAGATCTCTAAACATTTTGTTATTTTTTCTTTTATTTGAATTTTTTGCTCCATGTCACGTCGATGTTTATCAATTAATTCATCTATTCGAGATTGCTTTTCGGCTTTTTCACCAATAAAATTCCAAATACGTTGAACAATTAGACGTTCTTCCTGAGAAAACTTTTTCCAAGCAAGCAATTGATTTGCACGAAAACCTTCTTCTTCCCACGCATTCCACAAGGCAAGTAATTGATCGATGACTATTTGACGTAGTGTTAAATTTTTAAAGCAATCTTCAAATAGAACGGCATAAATACAAGACGTACGAACTGGTCGTTCGAATGTATCACGCAAAATTTCATCAATAGTGATTTGAATTTTATTTGCTGCCAATTGAATTAGACTATTCACTAGTTGACTTTGACTATGACATTGTTTGTCCATAGCAATTAAATGATATAGTGGATTTTCACGACTGGATAATTGTTTTAATCGATCTTGTGGTATATTTAAATACTTTGATGCAAATTCACTTTTAAATCTATCGAGAAACAATGGATTTCTAAGGTTTATTAACGCCTCGTATATAATGCGGTAAATCGATACTAAACAAAAGAAAAGAAATTCATCATAAATAATAGTTTTGGAAGTATTGAACTTCGGATACTCTTAGTATCACAATATCATCAGATGATATTCCTATAAATTGATACCAAGTGACAAAGAAGATTCTGTAAATTTAAAGTTCTATTAGAAAACTAGGATTTCCTTTGCGGAATACGATCAGATTTCTAGTTTTGGAGATGTAGAACGAGGGTTCCTCACACCGTTACCTTGTTGAAAACAAACACTAATCATATAATCAATAAACATCGCTTGATAGTGTTGATTTTCAAAAGCATTACTTAACACATCAATATTCGTCATTATTTTAATCATGATGTCATAATATTTGCAAAGTTGATGTGACCAATGTCTAATTAATTCTTGATAAGTTTGTTTATTCCAATCATTTAAATCTTCATTAAATAATAAAAATGAGCAAAACCATTGTTTAAAATATTCGTAAGAATATGATGCATTGGCATGATTCATCAAATGAATTAGTAAATCTTTTCTATCAACTAGAAATAATAGAATTGATTGTGGTTTAAATGAAAGAATAAAACGAATATCTCTAAAGTGCTCCATAGTTATTTTGAGTGCATATAAGTATGTTTGTATTTTTCTCCGTAATTCTATACTTGATTCAATAACTTTATTAACCATTTTTAAAACATTTTTCGATGATTCATTTGTTTCCTTCGATTCCATTTGTAAGAATTTCAGTAGAAATGTAATACTCTCAAGATTAACTAAAACAATAGAATAGAATTCAAGAATCTTGAATAGATTTTATTTTACCTGGTAAACAATCTTCGAATATAAGTTTGTCGAAATGACGAATTGTTTCATCAGCTACTTCCATTTTGTCGATATTCATTCCGACTATTTGTACTAGAGAGGTTATATATGTCGCTATTGATCCTGTTAATTCAAGTTGTTTTACTGAAAAAATATTTGGATCGACTATCGTGAAAAGACTGATCCAATTTAAACCTAAAACTGGCCTCTCCAAATATTCAAGTCTTAACAATAATGCATTAGCGAGGTCTTTTTTGCACGCTTCATTTTTCATTTGATGAACTAATAGTATTGTATCTTTTGACTTAGACAGTAATTCAAGTGCAAGGCATAAAGTTAGACCATCACGAAATAACGGCCAATCTCCTGTTGTAATTGTTGCAAATAGGTCATCATAATGTTCTTTAATATCATCAATTAATGCGAACGCAAACTGCGTGGTAGAATGACTAGTTAAGTCAAAATTTGTTTTCTTCACTGGTAAAAGTCCTATCATACGAATTATAATCTTTTCGCCGATATCAGGATTTGTTGCTGGAGGCATTGCGTAAGACAAATGAGTGAGACAAGTTTGAAAGAAATCATTAAATTCTTCGCGTATTAATTTACGATTTGTTTCTCGAACAGCTGATTGAAATTGGTCGATAAGTGAATTAAAATGATCATACATTTGATGGCGAAGTATGTAATATGTATACAAACACAACTGGCTCCAAAAAGAAACATTTTCTCCTAGAAAAGAATTGCTTTGATAAAATGTTCGATTTCTATAATTTTTCTTACCCGGTGGACTATCAAGTAGATTTTTAGCAAAGTTAACATCGAATAGAAAATAATGTTTATTATGACGCGGGTTATCAATAAATCGATCTTTGTCATCGTTGTAATCCCGAAATGTTTTGTCCGTTTGAGGTATTTTACGTGAAAGACGTAATCGAAAACTTTGAACTTGTAATTGTTCATTTTGATCCACAATATATAAACGTTCTTGATCATCGATGATTACATCCAATTCAAGTAAATAAATATAGGGACTATTTTGTTTTTGTTCATCGAATCCTGGAGCACGGTGAAACGTATGTTTAACATCATTATTAAAATAAGCTTTGACCTTGAATTTTTCATCTGGAGTTGTATTGCGTAAAATATAGAAGTAAATTTTTCGATTTGTCTGTTTTGGAATGATATTGTTCTCGTTGGCGTTGTTTTCTGTCGCCATTATTTACCAATTAAAAATATCTTTATAGAAATATGAAAAAAAGTAACCATGTGTGAATGATTATATAGTGTGTCTACGTGAGTAAATATTCTTTTTATTTTCGACACTTGAAGCACGTGCTATCGCATCTTCAAAGAATAAGAAGGCAAACATTTAACAATCTACGGAATATTCCAGTTCTGAAAATTTTTATCCTTTTCCCTTTATCAGACAATTCTATTTAAATCGAGTATAAATATCTTATGTTTCGTGAGATTGCAACGCATACTTTGCTCATCATGGATAAGAATGTGATAGAGAGAGAGAGAGAGAGAGAGAGACGTTTGTTAAAAAAACCCATTTAACAGTGAATCACAATCGATTTTACATTGGTGGAATAATTTAAAAAAACATATTGGAGTATTTCTTCTACCAATGCGTGTTTTTATATAAATCAATGATTCGTCTTAATATTTGATTCGGTGGTTTTACATGTTCGAGAGACATATTATTTAATATTCATCAGCATCGAAAACTGTTATCAGAGAAAAAATCGATAGGTTGTAATTACTTCCTCTGAAAGAGAATCTAAATAATTCGTTTTCTTATAGCTGAGAGTTTGGCAACAAAGTCCAACATAGTTTTTGGTTAATCTAAAACAAAAAGCTAAGCAAGTCTACTGAATAAGGCAGTATTCAAACTCTGCATTGGCTTGAAAAATTTTGCAATCATAAGGCTGCTCATATTACGAGAAGTCATCTATAATTATACGAGCTCTAATAATAATTTAAGAGCCTTTAATGATACGAGATTCAGTCGACACAGACATTGTGAAAAAAAATCAAACGCTATGATAGTGTCGGTTGAGGCTTACGAAAAATCAGGTTTACTTCAGATGGTTAGCGAACGAACAGGCAATTGTCGTAGTGTTCGCGTCAATATGTGAGTCACACATTGAAGAGGTAAAAAGGAATCTCGTATGGATGAAAAAAAGAGATTTATATCAAAATATTTTATTTTATCTGACAAAAAAATATCGATACAAAATTACTGTTTTCTTTCCATGTAATATTGTAATTCTCGTAAATTGATTGACATCACATCGCTTAATGTTCTTTCAAAAACATCCTATAATAATAAATTTTATAAACAAAAATTTCCATCGAGTATTTTTTTCAAATAACCTGTATCGTAATAGAAGTATCTAATGATTCCATATGTTGTTTAAAACGTACTAATAAATCTTTATAAAAATCAATTAAACAGGTCTGTAATAAAGGAATACATTGTGAATCGTAGCCTATCATCAAAATAAAATACATTTCAAAAATTTGGATTAATAAAATAAGATTTTTCTCACCTTTAAAACCACGTTGTTTTATTAAATCAGTAATAACTTCAGTTAGTTGATGGTCTATATCGCTAACCAGACATAAAAAAACGTAAAATTAATAAGAAAGAATAAAGGAAATATTCACTTAGGCTTTTCATTGTTGAAGACATAGCGTTTTAGTTCATGCTGATCGAGAGGAACCAACGGAAGATCTTCATAATTTGTCATCTTAAAATTATAAAATAGTTATGAATCTTTCCGTTTTGTGCTATAGACGGAAACAGAAATTCTACAGAGCGGTTATAAACAAGGCAAGAAAAGTTAGTTTTTAGTTGCCTAAATTACAGGTCATAGACTAAACAGACGAAAAACAAATATGACTTTACTCTTTTCATGACACTACAAAAAGAAAACAAAATGAGTCATCATCAACGTGTTACAAGGTTGTCATCATCTTCTTTTTCCTTAATAAATCATAAAACTCAAAGTGGTTCATTTGAAAAGATCTAATAAACAACTTCCTATGCTTAGTGACGTGTATTTAATTTTAGAATTTTCTTCTTACTCTACTAAATTTTTTTGTGATTTTCTGAATATTTTATTTTAAAAATCTTTGGAAAGAATTGTTTAGACAATAGAAAAAAAAAGTCAATAACAACACAGATTTATTTAAATATCTTATGTATGACAATACAAAAGAAAAACAACAAAACGTAAAAGTCGAATGTTTTCCAGAAATTGTCTATTCAATAAATTTGAATCGACCAAGGAAAAGAATCGATTAGTACTATTTTATTTTCCTATTCAAGACCAAGAACATAATTAACACCTTGCACAACCATTAGAATTAATGGTTGCCATGCAACAAGATATCGAATCCAATCAAGTAAATTTCCATAGAGTACATGAGGTTTCTAGAGAAGATATTCAATAACAACAAACGTAGATTAAACTAGCAAAAACATACCTCCCATGGATTGGGGAAAAGCCTTTTTAAATCAACTTTTTCTTTGCAATAAGGACATGTTTGTTTTTTTCCTACAATACACCAGCCACGTATACAAAATTCATGAAAACTATTTAAAAACAAATCTCTTGAAAATAAATTTGAATAGAAAATGAGAAAAATACGAACGTATGTCCACATTGTAATTTATAGGTTCGTTCAATTAGAGCTTCATCATTATTTTGTACTAATATAGGATTTGCACAAACAGCACATGTATTTGATTCTAATGCACGTTTAGGTAAACCACTCGCTGAGTAATACTAAATATTTAATGATGCAAACTTTTCGAAAACGAAAAATTCTCTAATTACTCCAATCTTTGATGCCATTCGATCAGTACATGATTCAGCCATGTCTCTTCCAAGTACACCATAATAAATACCATAAAACATAATTAAAATTCCGAAGTCAAGTGATGTCTAGAAAACGGAATCCTCAATTTAAACAAGAATAAAAACAAAATCTTCTGTTAATTACTTGTGGAGAAATCAATAAGAGATTGTTAATGCCAAGAAAAGTCATCATAATAAGAAAATATCCTCCTATCGCAAAACCATAGGAAACTTTATAGACAAGAAGAAACCATTTATAAACTAATCTATAATTCAAGGAAGAGTTTTTCTTAATAAAAAAAAGACCCATGATATTTACCTTGGTGTATTTGGCTCAATCGGTTGTCGAGATGCTCGTCGAGTAGCATAAGCTGTTATAATAGTAAAACAAATCCAAATAATAATAAAACGAAAATAAAAAAATTTAATCGATAAACCAAATGGTATTAACCACATTGCAATCATTGTAAAAAACTAGAAGATTTCAAACAAAAAAAAATGTTTTATGGTCGTTTCAAAATCACTCCATATATTTACTTGGTAAGACCTGATATGGTAACTTTTCCAAAATAATATCACAAATTGACAGACAACAAGTGATACAAGTAAAACAAGTACCATTTCCATATGCATAGACTCATGTCCCTTGTGCTTTTCATGCATGACTTCATGACGAACGCGAAACCGTTCTTCCGGACTGAGTTTATCCAGCTCGTAAGTCTAAAAAAACGCTTGAAGTAATGATAAAAAAATTTAGCAAAAATAATCTATACCTTATTTCCTAATATAACAGTTTTTTCGGCGACTCCATTGTCTAAATTCATTTTGATGAATATCTGTTTCCTTGCTATTTTCACTAACACATAAAAAAAGGATGCTTAGAAAATAATAAATAGACATCGGTCCAATGTGAATGCGTCATCGAATCGATAACAAATTTCGAACACACTAATGCACTTAGTAGTGCACCGCTTGTGTCAATTTTTAGAAACTTTTTCTTGCTATCATTTTGTTTCTAAAGACGAACTGAATCTTCTCATGTATTCAAACCTTTCGGTATCCGAGCCAGTGTTTTTAATGAAAGAGTGTACCCGGCGAAACAAAATGTACGGTACCCTAATAAAATAGGATTTACACAGTTTTACACACGGAAAAAAGACAGTGTGTACGTACTGTACACGCTGAGTTTCGTTTTTACACGATGTATTTTACAAGATTTTTCGTGCTGTAATGATTAAAAGAAAGATAAAAATTTCCGTTAAGTGTAATCAAAATTTTATGTCTACCCCAATAGAAAAATAGATAGAGGCGCTATACATCGTCTATGTTCACATAATTTAGAGTAACTCATATTGTTTCGCTCGCGTACGCAAGTTGATATAAAAACGTGAAGCGGCAATGAAATTATTTTTCGAAAACGATAAAAAGAATCCATCAAAAAAATAGGAAAAGTATTTTTTATATTAATTTATTGTACAATTGAATGGATAATATTATCTAAACTGTATCTATGCATGCATCATTGGGATATATTTTGTAATATTCTTGTTTAGGTATTCACACATCGATTAGTGCGAATAAATAATGTTTGACGCAAATGCCAGTTAATATTTTGTAGTGAGTGATGTTTTGCTTTTTCCTCGTATTTTCTGTGTTTTACATTGTGTAAATTTAAAATTTTCGTGCGCTCATTAACAAGAGAAATAAAATAAAAGTGACTTTTTAATAGAAGTTTTTGTGTCTAGAGAAATCAACATTCTAAATTATTGTACAGTTTGATCTCCGAAACAACGTGTACAGTTACACGCTCCACGGAAAAACAGAGTGTATGCATACATCCGATTTTTAGATTTCTATTAAGAACGTTGAATCAATTAAGTCTAACTTTGTTTGCTGATGACCTCGCCATCCATATATCAGGTGATTTAGAAAAACGTTTTTCAAGGAATATAACAGAATTAGAAGTACGTGCTAGACTCGTTCTCGAAAGTTTAGGAAAGTTTTCAGATGACAATATTCTTCCAGTAAATACTGCGAAAACCAAAGCACTACTGGTACATAGTGTAGTTGCACCAGCAAAACCTAAAATTGAATATAGAGGTCAATCCATAGAATATGTAAAGAGTTTTAAATACCTAGGTGTAACAATAGCAACAAAATTAGGGTGGAACGTTTTTATTAGCGATAGAATAAGAAAAATAAGAAAAGTATATCAAGGAATGAAAATTATGTTTTATACAATACCTAGAAACAATACTAAGATGAGAAAACAAATTTTCTCAGCGTTTGCCATGCCTCACTTTCTTTGGCTGTTTTCAACTTGGTTTTTCTATTCGGATAAGCAAAGAAGATATATCGAACACGTATATTGTTCAGGTGTGAGAATTGTCTATTCGCTACAGAAATGGGGAGATGAAACAATTTTAATACTAAGTCAAGAAAAATCTCTTCTTGACCATCTATATTCGTACTGGACGAAGTTCAGTATACATCTAGAAAGATCACCTGATGCTCTAATATTTCAACAAACATGGCGGGCCTATGAAATAATAACATCTGCGGATATAAGTTGGTTTAAAAGTATGGGATTCAATAAGCGTAGTATTTTTCCAAACAGACTTATCAAGAGAGCGCAGCACTCAATAGACGAATGGAAATCTTTCGAAAGGATACACGAGGAGCAACTAAACTATTTCAAAAGTAATACTAATCTACTCAGCTTATTCGTATATAAATATTTCCTATGTAATAATCACTTAACATAAACATTCGAATCTTCCACTTTTACATATACAAAAATAGAGAAATACGGAATAAACTATTCAAATTGAAATTTCGGTTACCACCACATTTCCTACACTACTTTAAATTTTTGTGTTACATGTTATAACTATGTGTCACTCTTTTTGTTTACTCTATTTGTTTATTCCTTTTGTTTATTCTTTTTGTTTATCTTTTTCTCATCTATAAATGAATTTCGTTCATCTCAGGGAGGAAGACTCATATCACTGAAAGTCAACCAGCTTTTTATGTAACGTGTCGTGTAAAAAAAAAAAAAAAGTGCTTCTCTTTAGTTTACTTTTCCTTTATTCTTTTTTATATGTATGTGAACCATTCAAGGCACAAATAAATTATAAATAAAAAAAAAAAAAAAAATTAAGTCTAACTTTACGATTTTATCGTTGAGGGAACTATCGTAGAGTGAAATGAAACCTTGAACCAACCAGAAAATAAGATCAGTCAATAGCGCTTGTCAAGATCTACTTGGAAACCGTGTGCTTGATTTGAAAACTATTTCTAGTCGAATCGCGACAGGAAATAGTCGAATCCTGACCTAAGATATCCCATGTCCAGGGAAGATCTCTCCGGAGAGCATCTTTCATGGCCCCCTAAAAAGGCTTCGATTTCATTTCAAAAATTGAAAACTTTTTCGGTTGCATGTGGCACCGTTTTTGTTTTCAGTTTAGCGACTCCATACATCATAATACAGGCCGTGAAAGAGAAGCTCAACAGACCATGACCGAAAGGCGCCATATATGATTATAGGCAGTGGCAGAAAAGTTGCAGAGATTCACAAACCGCAATAATGGGGTTCCAGCAAAGGAGTTTCATCGTGTTTAACATTTTACTCCGACAGGGATTGCGCTAACAGCTTTTTTTTACAGTGATGTCTATCAACGTATATGCACAAGCATATCCACAACTCCTTCAATCAATACACCCACACCCCAAAATCTGCTCAGTGAAAAGTTAGCTCACATTTAAAGCTTTCAAGAAACATGTGTACGAAAATCAATCGAACGGTGCTTAATTCTATTCATATTTTTATGTCTCTTTTTTCTTCTCATACCTTAATCTTCCATGCACAATGCGTTGTTGATAACGAT